GTGTGTGTGTGTGTGTGTGTGTGTGTGTGTGTGTGTGTGTGTGTGTGTCAAAGAGCTAGCCTCTGAGTTCGTGTCAGAGACAGTCCCTGTTTCTCTTACTAGGGAACCCACTCGGGTGTTTAAGTTTCAAATGTGTGCATAGGTGTGTATGGCAGGGTGTGTGGGGATGTGTGGGTGGGTGGGTGTGGGATGTCTGTGTGTCTGTGTCGGGGTATGTAACCGTGAGTGCGGTGCTCTTGGAGTTTAGAAGGCATCGGAACGCCTTGGGCTAGTGTTATACACAGCTGTGCATTGTACAATATGGGTGCCGGGAACTGGACTCTGGTCTTCTGCAAAAACAGTATGTGTTCCTAACAGCTGAACTATGCCCCATTTCCCCCTCGTTTTTATCAAAGTGTTTAAAAGGCAAGAACCTCTAAATACAGAAAAAAAGTTTGCTGAGCAAGGATAAAAAAAAAATGTCCATGTCTTAAACTAACTGTTATTAACTCATAGCATCAGAGAAGCTTCCTCCCACAGCAGCTGGGAAGACACTCACAGACTCACAGCCAGACATGACACAGGGAAAAAGACCTTGGAACAAACAGCTCTGAATGAGATGTTTCCATGCAATCCCTCTCCTCAGAGCTCAGGGAACCCCTTGGAAGAGGAGGTGGAAAGAGTTTAACAGCTCAAGGGGATGGAGGACAAGGCCCTCTGAAGCAAGGTTCATATGAACCCGCAGAGACTGAGACAGCAAGCACAGCACCTTGACAGGTCTGCACCAGGTCCTCCGCATATGTATTATTATAGCTTTCTGTTCAGCATTTTATGGGATTCCTGAATGTGAACCAGTGGGTCTCTGATTATTGTGTCTGCTTTGGGGCAAACCAACAGAAGGGAATATATAGAGGTATGTTTATTTATATATATATATATATATATATATATATATATATATATATATATATTTGTTTCTGTAGAAACCTTGTGAATTTTCATAGAGATTGCATTGAATCCTTTGATAGGAACTGCTTTAGATAGTGTGTCTATCTTAGTGTTCATTCTTCTAGTTTGTGAACACAAGATCTCAGCACATTGTTTTCTGTCATCTTAAGTCTCTTTCATCAATGTTTCCAGTTTTAAGTTTACAACTCTTTAATTTCTGTATTAAAATTTGGTCCTGAGTATTCTTGGGTGGTATTTGTAAATAAGTTGATTGTCTTGATTAATTTATGACAGGTTGCTATAAGTGAATAAAACACTATGTTAATTTTGTATCCTGCAACTTTACTAAGGTCTTTGGAGTTTTCTAAATGATCTCATTATTTGTCCCTGTGACAATTTAATTTCCTTTTCTTGACTTCTTTCTCTTATTCTCTTGACTAACTACTTGGCCAGGACTGCCAGGATGATTGTGACTAGGATCACTGAGACTGGTATCTGAAACTCCAATGAGCAGCTTTCAGGAAACACTCAAGTCGTGTTCCTCCTTGACCTAGGACCATATTTTAAGTCATTAGAGCCAGAACACAGCTTGTTTTGGCTGAACCAGTCAGAATTACTTGAGCAGGGAGTGAGGTTGACTTCGTTGTTTGCGCTGGTATGGCTGGAGTTCTGGCTTAGTTAGGCTTATTTATCGTTAGTAACTAAGGCTTTCTTCTTACTGCTTAATGCTTAGTTGTGTAATAATTATTTCAATGACAACTTAGTTGACAGTAGCAGTGGCCAAGGTGTTTCAGCCTCTGCAACTGGACACTGAAGGACACAGTTGCAAGTGACAGAAAAGGAGCACGTATTCATGGCCACAGAAATGTCCTTTCCCAACCAAATCCAGGAGACAAGACTTGGACTTGGAGACAGGTGTGCAAAACAGCCATGTTTTCACAGCTCTTGGCTAGCATTGACTTCTCCCAGTTGCACAGTTCACCCTCTTCCCACACTTGCCAGTGCCTTCACTGTCCTGGAAAGGAGGGTTGCTTGCTTGTTACTTTCCCTTCTGGGTTATTTTGGTCACTTGTAAAACATAACAAGGCCTTCACTAGGGCCTTTTCCCTTCAGAAGCTAGATGGAGGAATCCTAGAGTATTTGGAATTATCCTAATAATTACGAAAATCAGTAACCATGTCTTGTAAACATATTTTTAGATGACAGTTATCAAGTTCAATATTTTCTTCACATGGAGTTTTTCTCTCAGCTATAGAAATGAAACCGATTTGAAGTGAGAACTTACCTCAAAGATTCACAGGATGTGTTTTTAACATGCCTGTCAGAGTTGCAAGTGACACCATATTTTTATATTCTTGACTGAATTTTTTTATTTATATATCTGTGTGTTTGTCTTTGCTCAGTACAAACATTCTTCTGCTGTGAGTGCCCATTTTTGTGGAGAAGCTAAAGGCTTATTCATTAAAGTTGAATGGAGTAGGATTCTATATAACTGTAATTTTGAGAGACTAACAAAGATACCATGATCAAAGTAGCTGAGCCAATAAACTATTCTCTAGCTTAGGGTTCCAGAGAGAGAACAGAGAGACCTTACACATGCTAGCAAATGCTGCACTACTGGGCTGATATACCCAGTCTAATTTTCTAACATTTTCTGGTATTTTCTAACTTTTAAATCACTTAGACTTTCAGCAGACAGTTCTGCAAATATTTGACAAGCATCTATGCTGTGAATGGAAAGCTGTATTTCTAATGTTTTTACCAACTTTTCTCTCATAGACTTCCAGTGATTTTCATCTGAACATTACATGGTGGCAGTTTTGTGTAATAAGAGCACATGTGAATTTAAAACACACACCCTGCTGATAAAATGTGATTTTAAATTGTGTTGGCAGGATCCACAACTGTGTTGGCACATTCTCTCTGTGCTATTGCTCACGTAGTGACTGCAACTATGTGCGTTATAATGGGTTAAGAATTTCTTTTAGGATGTCCAAGTAGAGTAAGGAAGTTTTGATTCATATAAGTAACTATTGTGTTTCTGCCTGTCTTATTGAGGAACAGTAAGTTCTTTGTCTCTAAGCATGAAAATGTTTGACAGAAGCTCAAAGGCAAGGTGTCTTCTAGTTAAATTGCCTCTCAACTACTTGCTTTGAAAAGAGCAATAAATGAAGTTTTACTATAATCTTGATGGAAAAATATTGTAACGATCTTCAAAATCACAATTTAAAAAGAAAACGGGAGAAGTTCATACATTCTATTTGCATATGTAATATGCACTATTGTTTGATTGTACAAAGACTTCAGGCCTAAGATCATATTACCAGAGAGGCAAACTATCACAACACGCCCGCAGGCCATAAATTATCCCACACGGCAGCATTCAAGTTCAGAAAAATACAATGCAAACCTAACATGAGCTCTGTTTTCCTGGTCATCTACTTCAGCATTACATCGCTAATCCCATTTTATGTGGAATAGATATAAGCTATAAGATTTACTACTTTGGATTTCTTTGCTCATCGCCTGAAAAGTGGTAAGCGGCATTTACGGTTCCTGTAGTAAATACAGGTGCCGAGGAAGCGAGGCCGGTCGCTCTGGTGTATACCGGGCAGCATCTCTTCGGCAAAGAAACATCCTCTCTGATGTTTGCGGGCGCCACCCCTCGCTGGTGCACTGGCTACCCTGTTCCAGGTCACATGCGGTCAGCGGATGTCTGCACCCTTAGCTCTGCTGGCAAACTGCTTCTCTTCGGGTTCTCGGCCGGGTTTGGCTTTGGTGGAAGAACTGGGGCTCGGGCAGAGAAATGCAGATGGAGACTTTGCTGTGACCAAAGCATTGGCCAGACTTAAGTGATTCTCTTAAGGCAAAAATTCCATATCGCAATGCCAATGACTATTAATAATAGATTTCATTCTTTTTTTTTTAGGCCAGAGAACTATAAAATGTCTTTTTTACCATCCGCTTGCTCTCAGGATGAAGAAGAAAAGGTAAATAAAAGCTCTGCGTACTGTTGATATTTTTAATTCTCTTTATTTTTAGTAAAATATGTACAAGTGATTTGCTTATGTACCATATACAAGCCTGGTGCCCACAGAGGCCAGAAGAGGGTGTCAGATCCCCTGGAACTGGAGTTACAGATATTGTGAGCCACCAGCATGGTGATGGAAGTGAATATGGGTTTGCTACAAGAGCCGCCTTTGTTCTTAACGACTGAGCCTCTTCATTTCTCTTTTAAGAATAAACTATGTCGACCTAAGCAGTTTATTAGACTTGTGCCTTTCGGCTATTTTCTCGCATACTACTGAAGAGTGGAGAAGCATAGATTCCTACCTCTTCTCATAAACATGGAATTCACCGTCTTCTGAAGCAACCCTCCATACAGACTGACAGCCCAACAGCTGGTCCCTCCCTGATGTAACCATCTGACACTTATTTGAGTGTGTGCCACGATTTAGGCTTTGCGTACAACCACGATTCTCAATCCCACAGTTTTGATCCTCATGAGGATTTGGGGGGTTAGCATTGAATTTAAATATTAAAGCAGCATTAAGGAAAGGTTCCAGTTACTAAGAATCTATTCCTCATAATACATTTATACCTTAAGTGATTTTCTATTAGGGAAAATTTTGTACATACAATTAAGGGTTCTCTACTCATGTGTGACATGTTTTTGTTTGTCACTTCACTTTTAGAAAAGCACAGAGGTCTCAGGAATCTGGTAAGTCAGAAAGAATCTGCTTAAAGCCCTATATGGTAGCATGGAATGGGAGAGAAAGTAAGCAGCCACTTCTGTTTTCTTTAGACTGTGGTGGTCAATGGCAAACCACACAAGGGCAGTTCTTGAACATCGGGGTCATGGCAATTTCCTGCCTGTGTGCAGTGGCACCCAGAGGCTTTGCACCTGACACCAGGCAAGTATTTTGATGACTTGTTTAATGCTTGCTTTTTATAAATAATTTTCTGCTTGGTAACACTTGAACTATTAGCTAGCTAGAACATGTTAAAGATACATTCTCTGATGAAAGAGCAGAGAATAAACGTAAGTGAATGAGTACTCAACTACAAATACGACATCCATGTCATCCCCGTGACCCCTGCCAAGAATCAGGGACTATATGGAAGAGAGGTGGAAAGACTTTAAGAGCCAGAGGCCAGAGGGCGTTCTTCAGCGGAACAGTATCTCCCACCCATGACAGTACTGGTGCACTGTGGTGTAGCTGTGGTTGCCTGAACAATATCTATGTAAGATCCTGCCTGTTAACATTCTGCCATGGTGTGGGAGGGGCTAATGAGCCCCAACCCCTGGCTGAAGAGCTATTAACTATTGATGGCTTCTGAAGGGAGGAGGAATCCGTTTTCTTTAAGGACGTGACCAGCGGTAGGGCAATCACACCGCTGTGGATGGCCCCACATTCATTAGATGAGCAGTACAAATTAGATGGGGTGGATTATGGGGAGGCAAAATATAACAGGAAGTTGGGAATGGACAAGAATGTAGGGGGTTTATATGGGAGGAATTCAGAGAAGATTTAAATATGATCAAAATATATTATATAAATGTCTCAAAGAATTAATAAAAAATGTTTTTAAAGAATAAGAATTATGCATTAAAAAGTAAGGGTTTTTTGTAGGGTATTAAATCTTCCTAAAGGATTTGTCCTCACAGTACACTGTGAACAACTCTTGAACTGTAAACAAGCAAACAAAAGAAGCTGTCATATAATCACTGGCATTTTGCTAACTCGCTGGCTAGAGTGTTCCTTTGGGTCTCATTGACACACTTTTTATTGCGCCTCTTTTGTTTGCTTCCACTTCACCGCTTGTTGAGAATATTATGCCAAAGGTTGATGTTTTTTGTGAACGCCTCTGCTCGCCAATTTTTAATACAAACATATCTTTATTATGAGGGCTGGAGAGATAGCTCAGTAGGTATGAGTGGTATTTCTCTGGCAGAGGATCTGGGCTGGGTTGATGCTTTCAGTTAGAGAGACATTTGGTTTGCTTAACATGAACAGTGGTACATAGAAATCTCCTGGCTATGTTTTACTGAGATAGCAGTAAGGCACTGTATAACTTCACAGAATTAGAGCCAGTCTGTCTTTTGCACATCCCTTTAAGCAAATTCATTTTTAATCTAAGAGTAGTTATTTTCTAAAAGCAATCACATAGAACAAAGGAAAATTGATAATATTTATGAAATAATACAAGGAAGAAAAATGATGTTTAAAGGCAATGCCATGAATACTCTGGTGCTTTCTGATTTTAGAGGGAAGAGACAGCATGGTGAGTAGGAGGAAGATTGGACCGTCAACTCAGCAGTTAAGAGCTCTGCTGCTAGCAATTCTCTGATTGGCATTGAGGGCCTTCCCCTGGGAGTGGCCCATCCGTACATAGAATGACTGGACAATGGATTGACATCTAAGGTTTGTTATGGTGCTAGTCTGAGCCTCCACAGTTTTCAAGGCTGTGTTGGCTCTAAATCACACATTTGGATTTCTAGTCTCTTATTGGATAAAAGTTATACAGGAGTAAAATGCTCTGTTGTTTAGCCAAAATATGTGGTGATGATTGTTCACTCTATCTTCTATACCCAGGGCACTTTGATTCATTTTGTTTTCTATGTCACTTAGACCTTCTGCCCATAAATAAACTGTAAACTTTAGTTTACAGTTTGGATTTTAGAAAAATATCTAGCCATGTATTATATAAGACCTCACTGTCACCATATACTTTTTCTTTTCTTTTTCAAAATTTTTAAATATTTTTAATTTTTACAATTTATTCACTTTATATCCTGATTTTAGCCCTTCCCTCATCTCCTCCCAGTCCCTCCCTTCATCTTCCCCCATCTCCCATTCCCCTAGTCCACTGAAAAGGGGGAGTTCTCCTCCCTTGCCATCTGGCCTAGTTTATTGAGTCTCATCTGGACTGCCTGGATCCTCTTCCTCTGTGGCCTTCCTGCCAGAGGGAAGTGATCAAAGAGCAAGCAACTGAGTTCATGTCAGAGACAATCCATGTTCCCCTTGCTCTGAGGACCCACATGGAGACTGAGGCTCCACCCAACAGGTGATCAGAACAGATGCAGAGACTCAGAGGCAAATTCTGGGTAGAGCTCAGGGAGTCTTATGGAAGAAAGGGGTTGGGCTAAAAAGACCTGGAGAAGACAGGAGCTCTACAAGGAGCCCAACAGAGCCAAAAAATCTGGGCCCCGGGGGGACTACAGAGACTGATGCATCAACCAAGGACCATTCATGGACAGGACCTAGACCCCCTGTTCAGATGTGGCCAATACACCTTTTAAAAAGGCATACATAGCTTTAGAATTCTTACATTATTAAGGTGGATTTAATATTACTTCTTGATGTGAGTAAAGTACATAAAGGTTTGATATTTGAAGAGCTTGCAGTAAGGTTTTGCTGAGGAAAAACCCTGAGGACTAATAAAACTAATTTGAAAGGCTTTTCCACATCAACAGGAGCACAGCAGAATGTGGTTAAAATTTTTAGGTCAATTCAACACGGCAGTCTTTCGATATTTGTCAGTATCCTCTAATTGAGCACTGTATCTGTTAGACAAAATGATGTGGGGTGTTTCAGAAATAGTCTGTTAGTGAGCTCCTTGATGTCAAACACAAATGTTTAATTTCAGGTTAAATAACGGAAGCATGGCTCTAACAGCTGTACACAACACCACTCAACCAGAATTTGTAAAGCACCTGAAAACATACTCCCGAGTGAAGAATCAGGTACGCACATTTCTTTTTGTTACTTTTTTTGCAAGGCTATTAATCATGGAAAAATGCTTCAGAAATTAACATCAAGTTTTGCCTCATGAGAAACCTTTAATTTTCTTCCACCTACATTAATCATCTTTTCCCCCAGAGTTACTTTCAGAATTTGAAATTTGTATGCCAGCTTTAACACACCTTTGCTTCTTTTGACATATGGGTTATCATTTTTTCCCTTGCACAGAGAAAACTCAAAATTCTATTATTACATTAAAAAGTGAAGGAAGTTAGAGATACAGTTACACACACACACACCACACACACACACACACCACACACACACACACACACACACACACACACACACACACACACACGCTGTTCTTTAGAATGAAAAGCAGTGAAATCTGAGAGTTTAGCCTGCTTGGTCTTACAACAGCGGATTCTAAATATCTAATACTACGATTTTACTGACGTTTGTTTACAACTTGCTACATCTTCACGGATTGCAATAGATTTTCAGACATGTGCTTACAATACCCATTTTATAGATGTTACTCAAAACTTCTGTTTTTACTGAAGTGGTTGGACTGGAAGAGAACTAGTAACTCTGACGAGCTGGTTCCCTGGGAACACACCATGACACAGCTGTTCCTCTACAGTTGGACACATTTGTGGGGGTGTGAATGGTGCTTGGATGTAGTTAGGAGAGGACAAATGGGAGGAAGCGGCCAGTAAATCCAGATAACCATCAGAAGCTGTTGATCCCATTCTCTAGCCACATGTAGGAGAGATACAGACAGACACACAGACAAAGACAGACTAAGTCTCTGTGTGTATCTGTGTGTGCCTGTGGGAGCCAAAAGAAGCCATTAGAGTTTCTTGAGCTGGAGGCACAGGTAGTTGGAAGCTGCCTGCCTTTGTACTGGGAAGGAAACTTGGGCCCCCTGGAAGGCTCTTACCAGCTGAGCCAGCTCTCAGTCCCCAGCCCCTCCCCCCACTTACCGCATAATTTCACACTACCATGAAGAACTACATTTCTCTGGTATTTATAATCATATGTAATTCATGTCATCATTTGTATAAATAATAAACAAGTGTGGAAATAGGAATTGTATGTAATGCATACAACTGGAAATCATTAAGTTAAGCAAAATAAACCAGAAAGGTAAATACTGCATGTTCCTCTCATGTGCAAAACCTACATTTGGAGCCAGAAAAATGGCTCAGTGGACACAGGTGCTTGTTGCACAAGACTGGCAATCTGAGTTCAACCCCTGGAACCCACCTAAAAATGAAAGGCACAAACTGACTCTACAAAGCTGACCTCTGACCCCCACATACACTGTGTCACAAACATACACACATGTCAATAGTAATAATTTTAATTTTAATTAGATGCATTTGTATGTATTTACATATGTGTTTGTGTAGGTCTAAAAAGGGAGACCATGAGAGGTGAGAAGGAAATTTTAAGGGAGGTGAGGAAAAACAAATGCTGTCAAAGCCCCAGTTCTAACCGCCCTTGGAGGACATCAACATTGGCATTCCATGCATATAGGTAATAGTCACATTAATACATCTCTTCTTTCTCATTAAAAAAAAAAAAACTATCGTGTAAGAAAGACTGCACATGTGTTAGTTACGTGTGATCAAACAGCAGCAGCACTGGTATGTGGGAAGGAAACAAATTCCAAATTATTTTAGCATTTCACTCTCCGGGCCGTAGTATTTTCGCGGTTGGAACGCCAACATTTGTGAACAGCTGTGGAACAGATTGACGATAACCTCACTATTTTTGCAGTGACTCCAAACTCGGTAAGAGAGACCAAGACTACCCTCCAGGGCCCTTTCACCTGAGCCCTCTTGCTAGCTCCTCTCCCTCCCCACGTCTCTTGCTCTCAGTGGCCACCTTGGGGAAGTGACTTTAAAACTCTGAAATGAACCCTGCCTTCTGCGGGCCCTGATCTGGCTGATCTCTTTGCCCCGTTATTTCAATTGCCTTTTGCACACACCCCTGCAAGGTCTGATCGCGCCTTCACGCTGCAGGACCGCTGCCTCCCTGTGCCTTAGACCTTGTAAACCACCAGGTCTCCGGGCCCAGCAGGTCCACGGCTGACCACGACTTCTCCCCTTTCTTCAGATAACACACACCCCAACTGCTTCTGTTGGTTCTCACTTTTATCCTCCTCCTCTTCTTCTTTCTCCTTCTCTTCCCTTCCCCCCCCCCCCGCCCCAGGGTTTCTCTGTGTAGCTCTGGCTGTCCTGGACTTGCTGTGTAAGCCAGGCTGACCTGGAACTCACAGAGATCTGCCTGCCTCTCCTCCCTGAGTGCTGGCATTACAGGCACCCAGCTTGTTTTCCCTCTTCAGAATTAAAATCTTCCTCATTCTACTTATAATGGCCTCTTCTGTCTCTCCAGTTTCTCTGCCTTGTCTTTTGTAATTCTTCCTTTAGGAGTTTTTCTACAATAGCCGATTTGTTTTCTTCAGTCACTGAGGGCAGACTTCCACTTCCTGAGCATGAGCTACATGGTCCTTGATAAACCACTCCCTCCCTCCCAGTGCCACAGCTTGAGGAAGGTACTAACGGGCTGACTTGCTCATGAGGCCATTGTCCCCAGGGAACATGGTTTTCCTCTAAGCATATTTTCACGTGGCTGTCTCTTGAGACATGTGAACCTCCACTATTTTTTGAATGCATTCAAATTCTCACCACTCCCAAGGACACACTCCTGTTGGATTAGACTCTGCCACACAGCTATATGTTTAACATAGTCATATCTTTAGAAACCTTTATCTTCCAAAACAGTTACGTCCTGAGGCCTTCAAGACTTAGGACTTCAACACTGGAGTTCTTGAAGGGCAGGGCACACAACTTATGTTGAAACGCTTTGTAATTGAGTTCTTCAGAGTAATTGAGACAGCCAAATAATTTTATTGAAAATGCAGATCATTGGTCATTTCAGGTTTTAGAGCAATTGGCTTTGGTAAACAGCCGTCCCTTGTCCTCCTGCATACGAACCTCAAGGAAGCACGTTTTTAGTTGTTTAAAACAAATTAAGGGTCAGTATTTTCCCCCAAGCCCTTATTTTACACACGTAGACCAAAGGCCCCGGAGCTACCACAGCCTAAGCTTTACCATCAACCTAGTTACACGGTGGTTTCCTCGCTCTCTTCAGTTCTAAACAACTCAGTGGCCTGGCGCTCCGTGAAACTACTTGCACGCTGTGACTCTGCAGAGCTCCCATGTTGGCATAAAGCTTTCATTCAGAACTTGCCTCTTACTTACACAAGTTACTGCATAATCACTCACTTTATAGGCTATGCTTTTACGTGTTACCAAGCACTGGCTGTTACGGGCTAATTACATCTATTCCCCACCCCAGATACTCAATCCTCACCCTTGTTACCTTTGCCCCACACCCTACTTGGAAGAAGGTTCGTTATAGATTTAATTGAGGACTCGTTGCTGTCCCCTCACCCCAATAAATTTCTTTGGAAAAGAAGAAAAAGTACAACATTAAAACATTCAAATATTACCTGGCTAATAACTCTCTTGTACCTTGTTAAAATGGCAGGTGAGCACCTGGGAAATCATATCTGGTCACCTCTTTCCTTTCTTTTATATACTTTCCACTTCATTTTTTCTCTAAGTTTAGATTTAGGTTCTTCTGAATTAAATTCCAAGTGTGAAACTTGTGCTAGAGTATGTTTCACATCAGCTAAAGAAGGAAATAATGAAGTCAGTGGGAGCAACTGAAGAGTGGCCGTAACTAGAAAGTACAGGATCATTGTTGGAAATTCTTCACCGGTCTGAACTGTCATACAGCAGAGATGAATGAGCTGGGAAACCCCTGGAAGGAGGTTCCTTTTCCAGAAAGCCTGACAGTATCTGGTCAGACTTTCAAAGCTGTAAAAATGTTAGTATGATGGTGAAAATTATTTGTAAAAAATAGGGGGCACCAGAAAGCATCCCAATTTTTAATTTATATTAATTACAATTTATTCACTTTGTATCCAAGTGATAGCCCCCTCACCCTTGCCCTACCATCCTCCCTCCCTCTTCTCCCCCTATGCCCTTTCCCTAGTCCATTGATAGGCTAGGGTCAGATGGAAGGGGAAGAGGACCCCTATCAGGTCTCATCAGGAGTGGCTGCATTGTCTTCCTCTGTGGCCTGGTAAGGCTGCTCCCCCCTCAGGGGAGGTGATCAAAGAGCAGGCCAATCAGTTCATGTCAGAGACAGTCCCTGTCCCCATTACTAGAGAACCCACTTGGAGACTGAGCTGCCATGGGCTACATCTGTGCAGGGGTTCTAGGTTATCTCTGTGCATGGTCCTTGGTTGGAGTATCAGTCTCAGAAAAGACCCTTGGGCCAGATTTCTTTTTCTCCTCTTGTGGAGCTCCTGTCTTCTCAAGGTCTGTCTATTTCCCTCTTCTTTCATAGATTCCCTGCACTCTGCCCAAAGTTTGGCTATGAGTCTCAGCATCTGCTTTAATATCCTGCTGGGTAGAGTCTTTCAGAGGCCCTTTGTGATAGGCTCCTGCCCTGTTCCCTGTCTTCTCCCTCTTTCGATGTCTATCCCATTTGCCTTTCTGAATGAGGATTGAGCATCTTACCAGGGTCCTCCTTCATGATTAGCTTCTTAGGGCATCCCGAGATTTTGCATTTGTTGTATTTTGTTCAATTTTCCCTTTGTGGAGACTTATACCATTGAAGAAGTAAAAATTTATTCAAGGAGTAATAGCAATTGGATGCAACCCACAGCAGGAACCAACTGTTTCAGAACATGGTTTTCCTTGGAATGTAGATGGTGACTTAATGGGAGCTGCATCCACGTTAGGTAAGCCCAAATATTTCACAGCTCTCTGTGTACAATAGCAGATGTAGCATTAATAACATAATGTGGGGATTCTGCCTCTTCACTGCCCAAACAGAAGGTTAAAAGACAGTAATTTAGAAAATTGTAGAAAGACATAAGCACACCTTTCAATAAATACAAATATGAGTATTTACACTGGCATTGCAAATCATTATTTTGCATAAAATATACAAATAATGTGTTTACAATTTACAGTGTTGGTCTTTGAGGGTATTGTTAAGCCTTTTGAGAATAATACAGTACAGCATTTTCTAGCCCTCTCCCCAAAATTGGGCTCTAGTACCGTAATACTGTGTTGAACAGTTTGCTTCTATTAAGTCCTGTTTTTATTCAAGTCGGCATATAAGGTGGGGAGGGGCTCCGGTCAAACCTTTATAAAACACCCAGCACTCTGTACATATCAGCTAACATGAGTCTTGAGTGGGTACAAACAGTTATAGCAATCTACATACCCCTTCTCAGAAAGCCTCACGGCTTAGCAGGGCTACGTAGGGTGTTCTCAAATGATTGTCTCTTCACAAAGGCACTATCAGTCGGGCAGGAAAAGTGGTAAAGAAAGCTCTGAAACAGTCACAGATTTTGGTGTTTTGGGCCCTTCCGCTTGCTGATTGGTGGCCCTGCCATGAATGTGTGCCGATCTGTTTGTAATTCATGCCCCCCACTCATGAGGCGTGTGAAAAATAACGATGGCAGGCATTCAAGTCTGTAGTAGTCTTTACAGGCTGCACCTAAGGCTGAAGTCTGGAAGAAGAAATGACCGACTACAGAGTTGCATGTAAAAGAAATACGTAAAGTAGAAATTTATTGTGAAATTATCTAGCTAGCATGCAACATATATACAAAGAAAAATGCCTTTTTGAATGAAAATATCTATATTTCAATATAATTAAAATAATACCTAGATATTTGAAAAGCAAGATTAAAAATATAAAATCAACCAATAATCAATAATCAATTCTGATTTTTGGAAGGTGTTTCTTAGGCCTAATTTAAACAACATTGTACTATATTATTATTGAAGATATTTTTTAAGCCACATGTACTATAACAATATTGTTGAAGATAATTTAAGAATTTGCTATAGTCTGATAAACCATAGATTTTTTAAGTTTTCAAACTGCACAGTGAGCTAGTAATAAAATCACAAACAAGCACTTAATTAAAAAAATCTTTTCTGTGTAGGAGACAATAGCCTCAACCCATAACAGCATCTTTTGAAGTAACAATATTTTTAAGCTTATTATACAGGTAAACATCTAAGTTTTATTTAAAAAAATATATAAAATATCTAACTGGACAAAAATGTGGCCCAGGAGGTAGTTGTGTTCCTTTTTTTCTTTTTATTTTTTTATATTAATTACAGTTGATTCACTTTGTGTCCCAGCTATAGCCCCCTGTGTCATTCCCTCCCAACCCCACCCTCATCTCCTCCCATGCCCCTCTAAAGTCCACTGATAGACTAGGGTCAGATGGAAAGGGAAGAGGGACCTCCCTTTTAGGACTCATCAGGACTGGCTGCATTGTCTTCCTACATCAGGTGGAGGTGATCAAAGAGCCAGCCACTGAGTTTATGTCAGAGACAGTCCCTGTTCCATTACTAGGCAACCTACTTGGATACTGAGTTGCCATGGGCTACATCTGTGCAGGAGTTCTAGGTTATCATCATTGTCCTTGGTTGGAGTATCAGTCTCAGAAAAGACCCCTGGGCACACAAATTTCTTGTTATTGTTGCTTTCCTTGTGAGCTCTGGTCCCCTCCAGGTCTTTCTATCTTCCCCTTCTTTCATAAGATTCCCTGTACTCTGCCCAAAGTTTGGTTATGAGCCTCAGCATCTGCTTTGATACCCTGCAGGATAGAATCAGATTCTACCTGAAAGATAGGCTCTTGACCTGTTCCCTGTTTTCTCCCTCTTCCAATGTCTGTCCCATTTGCCTTTCTGAGTGAGGATTGATCATCTTACCCAGGGTCCTCCTTCTTGCTTAGCTTCTTTAGATGTACAGATTTTAGTATGTTTATCCTATATTATATGTCTAATATCCACTTATGAGTATATACCAGGTGTCTTGTACTTCTGGGATACCTCACTCAGGATGATCTTTTCTCGATCTACCATTTGCCTACAAATTTCATGATTTCCTTGTTTTTAATTGCTTAGTAGTATTCCACTGTGTAAATGTACCACAATTTCTGTATCCATTCTTCTGTTGAGGGACAGCGTTTCCAGATTCTGGCTGAACAAATGTCCTTGTTGTGTACTTGAACATATTTTGGATATATGCCTAGGAGTGGTATAGCTGGATGTTGAGGAAGCACCAGATTGATTTCCACCAGCAGTGGAGGAGGGTTCCCTTTTCTCCACATCCTCTCCAGCATATATTGTCACTTGAGTTTTTGATCTTAGCCATTCTGATGGGTGTAAGTTAAAACTGAGTCGTTTTGATTTGCATCTCCCTAATGACTACGGACGTTGAGCATTTCTTTAAGTGTTTCTCTGCCATTTGATATTCCTCTATACAGAATTCTCTGTTTAGCTCTATACCCTCTTTTTAAATTGGATTACTTGATTTGTTGCTGTTTAACTTCTTGAGTTCTTTATATAGTCTGGATATTGATCCTTTCCAAGTTTGTAGGCTGTTTTGTTCTGATGACAGTGTCCTTTGCTTTAAAGAAGCTTTTCAGTTTCATGAGGTCCTATTTATTGATTATTAATGGCCATCCTGCCAAAAGCAATCTACAGCTTCAATGCAATTCCCATCAAAATACCAACACAATTCTTTACAGAACTGGAAGAACAATTTTCAATTTCATATAGAAGAACAAAAGACCCAGAATTGTGAATCCTGTACAACAGATAGTCTCGAGGTATCTCCATCCCTGATCTCAAGCTGTACTGCAGAGCAATAGTAATAAAAACTGCATGGTACTGGCATAGAAACAGAATGGTGGATCAATGGAATTAAATAGAAAATCCAGAAATAAACCCACACACCTATGGATACTTGATTTTTGACAAAGATCCCAAAACCATACAATGGAAAACAGACAACATCTTCAACAAATGGTCCTGGTCCAACTGCATGTCTACATACAGAAAAATGCAAATAGATCCACATTTATCACCCTGCACAAAACTAAAGTCCAAGTGGATCAAAGACCTCAACATAAAACCAGATACCCTAAACCTGTTACAAGAAAAAGTGGGGAAGAGCCTTGACCTCATTGGCACAGGAGACAACTTCCTGACCAGAACACCAACAGCACAGGCTGGGTTCCTTTTGACCTGAAAGGCAGTGCTTGGCCAATCACAGCAGTCAGTGTCCAGTGAACTGATCCAAATTTACATTTTCCCGGAGACCCTCCCTTTAAAAGGTAGATCTAAACTGAGATTGATTTTTCATGTATTATTTTTGACATTTTGTGAATTAACTATTTGAATTTCATAAGAAAAACCATAAACCCATAGATTTTACACAGAAATAAGTATCCTTTAAGATACAAACATTCAATTAAACATGGTTTTTGTGTACGTGGAGTTGACGCTTTGTGCTCATTTCATCACGCAGAAGCGAGACCACAAGCCTTGGCACACATCTTGCTCTCCAGCCACAGACCAGGGGCTGGAGGATCAGGAGATCTGAAGAAGGGCCAGCAGCCACTGGAGAGTTCCTCTTCACAACAGTGATGGCTGCCCCTTTCATCCAACACAGGTTCAAAATCAGGCCATAGCTTTCTTCCATGTAACAGATCCAGGTGAATATTTACATTTATCAAGCCACATATAGGAAATAAATACTACAAAAAATGATTGTAAACACTACAAAAAGGTTGTAATTACAAACAAAGTATGTAAAACCCAGGTAGAAAATATTTCATTTTAAAATAGAACCTTGTGCAACAGCATCAAACATACATACCTTATGGGAATTTTATGCCACATTTACTTTGTCACTGCACACAAGCTTGAATCAGTGACTTATAGTTCTGCCTTTGAAATGGTTTTTCCATTTCCATAACAGAATATCTTTCTTTACACTCCTGGTTAATATATATTTAACCGGAACAAGAAAAGCAACATTATCCTAAAGATCCTCGTATCTGCTTACTTTGAAACAGGGACTGTTTTATGAACTATTGGCTCCCAAATCTCTCTCTGCACGATATTAAATTATAAGTGAGCTGCAGTTCATATTATATCAGTGTGTATCAGCTAAAGTGCAACGTTTATAATCTGCTATGAGGATTAAACTCTTAAGAATTGGTTTTACAAATGAGTATTTGAAAAAAATAAAAATATTCCTGGGTGCTCTTAATAAAGAAAAAAAAAAGCGGATTGACATTTGTATTCTTTAGAAAAGCCTATACATACAAAGATGAGCCCACAGCTGGCCATTTCTCCAGAAGGCCAACCTGCTCTTATGGATTTTAAAATTAATATCTGCAGAATAAAAGGGCAGTAGGTCAGTGATGTCAAGTCACCAATGGCAGTCTTCACATCTTCCACTTCTGAATGATTTATCCATTAGAAAATCTGGACAATGCTCTCTGAAACAGTCTACGTGTGTTGGAACCAACAAGTAGCCAGTCCGTGGCGTTTAGTTCACTGAGTTAAGAGCACCTGGTCAATATTCTGCTGTTAAAGATTGCTCCTTTTAAGGTGGTCTGGCTAAACATGGAGTTACTTTCACTTCAAGCTGGTTTTGGATGTTCTCCTTTGTGGAGTAAATCAAGAACTTTAGTGTTTTTCTCCACTGCTTGACTGCTGAAAAAAAAGCAACCTTTGTCTATTTTCTTTCTTGAAGATTTCTCCTGCATTAAGGCAGAGTAGGTCACAAAATCATAAGTACACAAAAAGGGAGATGTACTCCTGGGTCTTATGAACAGGATAGCTTTCCTGACCCGATCTTTCCTTTTCATTTCTCTCCATTTAAAGGTTTTTAGTCATCATCATCATTGCTTTTGCTGTTGACGTAACTCCAGCTGTCTCTCCTGTTTTCTTCTTGTAGAATAGATTTATACTGCCTTTTGAAGAACCCAGCCTGAAAACAGATTAGAGGACAAGTGCATAGTTCGGAACTCACAATAGTCACATCAAATATCCAATCAGCCTACAGCACTTTCCCCTTTGCTCAGGTTACACTAGCTGTGAAGACAGTTGTAAACAGTGTTTAGTCAGCCTGGCTCGTGTAGGGTTAACAACACGAGACTTCTCAGTGATATCCCACAAAGGGTTTTTGACATATGCATTTTTCCAAATGGACTCTTGTAGTGAAGATAGAATAAATATGAGAACAGTATTAAACATCCAGATAACATTAAAAACGAAAAGGAACAGTTAATACTGAACCTAATTGTCTTTGAGCCAATAAAGGCATTCTGAGTAGTTTACTTTTGGCAGTTACTGTCAATACAACACATGAAATTAATAATCATTTAGAGCATCACCTTCCACATGACCCAGGAAATCAATAAGAGCACAATGAGCCCAAGCAGCAGGCTGCTGGAAATGATCACGATGGTGAACTGCCGTTTGGGTCTTTGATGATGGAGACCTTCCAGGAAAACCTGCACAAATTTTAAGTAGAGAAAGCACAAGCTCAGAAGCTCTGACGGTTCCCTTGAAAAGCCTCCCATGCTTCTACAAGGATCTGAACCATCCACCCTGTCTTGTTCTAGTCTCAGCCCTACCAAGCCCTGGCAACTGTTCAGTGGACATGGTGAGTACAATGGTCTCTATAGCTCTCCTTCCCAGCCACTCTATTCTCACTGCTACCAAATCACGGCTCTGAAGAGTGCTCTACGTACTTCCCATTGGCTGTGGAAAAAGCTTAAAAGTCCTGTAGGACCTGATGGCATGCTGATTCCTGACTCAGATCCCCAAAGGCGCTACTTATAAACACCCTCAAACTCTCCCATAGAGCTGTCATGCAGTACTTTAGAGGGAAGAGCTTACATAGGCAACATTCTCTTCCCTATTCAATTCAATAACTTTAGGGTGTGGCTCTGGAAACGCTGTTGCTTCTATTTCAAACTTGAGTGATGAAGTCTCATCCTGTTTTGCAAAGAAAATATCAACAGTTTGATTCATAGTTTATTTCATGAAGACATGTTAATAGAAACACACCTTTGCTGTCTAGAATCTCTATAACTTTCCGACATTATAATGCTCCCTTTGGACATGGTTCTGTCTCATGGAATCCTTTTATTACATTCTTGGCTATGTTGAAAATCACTTGCTTTAAATGTTTTGCCAGGTTACAGTATGTTATTAGTGACCAATATAATTTTCTCAGTGCTATTACGTTTTACTACACATACGACTTCTTGACCTGGTAAACACTCCCTCAGGTTCACCTTCTTGCTCGTTTCTAAATGAACCAGATGCATCCTACTTAGTGTCTTAGTGACAGCACCTTGCACTAGCGATATTTAAATCCAAGTCTGAGATCATCTGTGGGTGAATTCTGAGCTTTAATGTTTCACGTAGGGAATTGATACCAGGATCCATTCATCTTGGGACCTGTGAGTGGGCTTTATGGATTCGATGGCTGTTTAAAGACGGTGTTCATGTGTGCATTTACAGGGGGGTAGGTAAGAGTATAGAACGTATATTAAAATAAATACGGCTACTATTTGTTTTTAAGCACGTGTGGCTGACGACTTGCTGGAAGTGGCTTTCCTCCCACATGGCTCCTGGTCAGCATGCTTGAGGGAAGTGTTTTGCCCACTAATTCCCTTTCCCGCCTTTCTTTTTGAAACAGGATCTCACATGCCCAGGCTGGCCAGGTTAGGTTAGAATGACCTTGCGTTTCTAATCTTACTGCTTAATTTACACTTGTACAGCATACACGCCCAGTTCACACCAGCCCTGGGACTGAGCCCTGGGCTCTGTTCATGGTAGGCAAGCACCATACCAATCGATCTAGACTGCGGCCATAGATGCCACATTTGGTCTGTTGCCCCAAAATGCTAAAATCTACTGGGTAAAGGTTACTTTTTAGAAACTACAGACTTCATGAAACCCACAGCATTCTTTCAGCAGGAGGGCTCCTCCAGGGACAGTGTCTGGGGTCATCCTTGACTGTAGGGACATGAGCAGTGACAGGAACCGCCTGGTGCGTAGAGCAGCCTGACAACAAAGACGTTCTTGTCCACTGTGTCAGTACTGCCTCTGTTGAGAGACTTGGGGCATATGGGAGGCAGATATCAAGGCTCAATGCCCTGCTGCTGGTCTCAGGACTTCAAAGTGTGTCTGAGGCTACCATGACTGGCTATCTCTCCTTCCACTGTCTGATGGAAATTCCTTTGACCACTGTGTAGTGATTTAAAAAAAAATGCCACTGAACATGTAATAGCTCCATTTCTTTTGGCCATCATGGGCCAGGGACAACTAAAAAATGTGAGCAAAATTAATCGCAATGTGCAATTCCATTTGGCTGGCCTTATCTACCCTGGCCACTGACATTATCCATACTGGCTAGATGAGGAAACTGAAAAAAATGTTTTAGGTTTTCTCCTATTATCTGAGGGCTCTTTATAACATATCTTCTTTTAGAGGAAAAAGTCCAAAATGCATTTAATTTCTTTTTAAATTTTTAATTTGAAGCTTTAAAGTTTGTTATTTTTAAAACGTATTTTTGTTACTGAATTTTGTCATAATCTTTTTTTAAATAGGCTGAGCCTCATGTCATACATGAGGGCCTTGAACCCACCATATAGTTGTGATGATCTTAAGCTTCCAGCCCTCCTGCCTCTGCCTCTAGCCTGCTGGGACTGCAGGCATGAGCCAACCATACCCAGGCTTAGTTGATACTTAAGTTTGATTTTCTTTGAAATCAAATTTCAATTTTACTTCCTGGTTTTAATCTTTAAACATTATATTTTAAAGTTGATTTAAGGCAGTCATGATACACAACTGTCTACGCTGCAGTTGTGAGGCAGCCATGAAATGGTTTTCCGGCTGGGGTCACCATAACATGAAGAACTGTACTTGAGGGCCACAGCACTAGGAAGGCTGCAAACCACAAAGTTCAGGTGCTATGAACTGGTAGGATAGTCAAGCTCTGTTTAATTAAGGTTCATAGACAGTTGCTTTCTGCACAAAACCTAATCATTCTGTAGTTTATCTCTGCTAGTTGATGCAATGAAAATGCGATTTGGGCTTTATTCCCAAATTATATTCTCATCTTTGTAATTTGTTGAATGTTTCCATACTGTCCTGTCTATGTAAAAATGACTGCGTCTATACATCCATATCACAAAGTTCGCCATCTGATTTTGAACTCACCATTTCCAAGAGAGACGGCCTGCCTTCCAGCTGAATGTGAACACTGGCTTCTTTCCCGCTTTCCATTCTTCCGAAATTGCACAAGAAACCCAAACAGTGTAGATCCGCTTTCATGCAATACTTGGAAAGAATGGAAAAGCCCTGCGTTAAAACCCTCTACAGTTAACAACTTAGCCGCTGGAGAAGGTGGCTCAGTGGGCAGAAGGCTTGCCGGGCAAGCGTGAGGACCAGAGTTTGAATCCCCCAGACCACGCAAAGCTGAGGAGACTGCGTGTGGTGGAATCTGCTGTTTCTACCACAGGGTGGGAAGTAGAGGCAAGAGAATTTCTGACAGGCAGGCTCACAGCAAGGAGGTCCTGCCTTAAACAAATGGGTCGGGGACCACAGCTGTGGTTGCTTTCTGACCACTGTGCACACACAGCAGCATGTAAATCCTCTCAGAGAGATTAAAGAATATGAATTTTAAAAAATCAAAACTCCTCCGTGTGCCAGCAAGACAGCTCGGCAGCAAGTGAAAGTACTTGCTACTAAATATGAAGACCTGAGTTCAAATCCCCGGGGACCAGAGGATGGAAGAAGACTATGTGCCTGCAGGCTGACCTCTGGCCTCTACAGGCTCACTGCAGCATGCGCTCACACAACTGAATCTAATGAAGTATTTTTAAATGTCCTTAATGGCATTTAGAAAACTGCCTTTTTTTTTTTGGTAAACATCTTTCGGTAAAACATGCATTTTGTTTTATAAACTATAAAGTGTATTCAAACTAGCATTTGTTTCCATCATTCTTAGGAACAGACCCTTCTAGGACAAGATGAAAAGAACGATGTGCATAATTAGAGTCTCCCTAAGAAAAACATGCTCTGTTTTTCTGTTTGTTTGTTTTTGTTTTTGTTATTTTGCACAACTTCTCCAGTTTCATGAAGTCACTAAAATGGGAAGAATGAGAATCTCATGCTAGAAATATGGCTGCTTAGGTGACTTGGTGTCAGGAGGGTTCTGGTATAATGTCTGGGTGGCATGTGGGGGTTCCTTGTTAGGTAATGACACCTTAATCACACACACTCACTCCTGGGCCCATCTCATCGCTCCATCATGCTTGTATCTTACTAGTGGGAATATCACCTGAGCTTATGTCCCTAACCACTCCCCCGACCCCACTGATTTTCACTGTTTTAGTTCTTTGCGGGAAGGCAGAAATACCCATCTGAGACATGGAACCTCACCAAGAGTCTCTTATCAGTCTTTGAGAGGAATTTGAGTATGTCTGTCAAGGTCTCTGCTATGCCCTTTTGCTGCTTCGATGTGCACTCACTGTCATAGCGATTGAAATGGCATTGCCCAGAAGTCACCTAAAGACAGAAAACAAGAAACATAACACCTCTCTTTGGAGAGAGCTGACACAACACGGTTTTAAAAGTTTCACTTGATTGTCTTTACTAAGATACATTATGCATCTCCTAAATTCTGAAAGTATTTTTGACAGAATCATTTGGGAAATAGTAAATCTCTGATAAACCCACAAACAAAACTCCAATTAAATTAGAGCAGGTCTCAGGTCAACAAACTCTACTGACAGGGAAAAGGAAAATGGAAGGTGCATGTTAGCCCAAGGTTAAGATTTCTTTGCTTTCACAAAACAACACAAACCACAAAACAAAATATGTCACAATTATATATCCTAGCATCTAAATCTGGAATCCAGGTAAATTTTCAAAAGACTATTCCAAAATCATTCCAGGAGGCTCTCTTTTTTGGTGACCGCTGTTTCTTGATACAGAGATAAACGACTTTTCATAGCCCTACAGGAAAAGAACTGGTCTAAGCACCAACTCATGATTCCTTAGAGCGGGTTTCCTCCTTCTTGTTGCCACAGTGGCTTCAAGCTTTAAGGAAGGTTCTTCTAACTACACTAATTCCATGGGCTCATGTCTCAAAGAAAGTGATAGAAAATAACCAAGAAGAAAGAACCAGTTTTTCAGGTTGTATTATGTCAAAGCAGGTGCCACCTCTGGCCTACAGTTTGGGGAAAATGTATTAACTTCCTGGTGCTCTCAGTTAATGCATATGGAATTCATAGCATTGAATATGACTTGGGGGGGGGGGGCAGAAATCTTCATCTTCACACAGGACTTAAGCTACAGGGTTAGTGTTTAAGACACACCAAGTGCAGGTCAAACAAAGGAAACACACTTTTACCTGGACAGCTAAAACGTTGAACAACTTATCATTTTGAGGGAGAAAAGAATTGGGTACCATGATTTCCACACTAACATTTGGAGCCATGCTAATGCCAGTGTTTATAACCTGAAAAAGAAAATAATTTAAGAATTGTTTTATAGTTATATGTACAGAAACCACTGAGCTTCAGGGCAAGTGTTCACCAGCCAAAGCGAATGTGTGTAGTTGGTAGATACAGAGCAGACAGAATAGCCATGCGCAGAAATTTTCCAGTTCCATCAGTTCAAATTCACGTTAAGGCTTTTGATTTTGTTTTAGTACTCTTGTGGCTGCATTTTGTCACAAAACTAAAGGCAGAACAAGTTTAAGGTCATTTTGAGCTTCATAAGAGACCCGGTCTCAAAATACAAAATCAAAAGAGGTTAATATTTGTTTATATATATATATATATATATATATATATATATATATATATATGTCTATTCTGTGAGGCGGGACTAATAGTCCATTTTTATTCAGGTTAATTATGATGCTATCACATTAAAAAATTAGGAAATGACACCTTATTTGACTTCAAGATCACATAACAAGCCATTAACTCTGGACGCTATTTCATTCCGTAAATGTGGGGATTACATATCTTCATAAACAGGAGGTTGAGGCAAATTTTTTTCCTACTAAGGACCTTAATTATAAACCCAATACCAGGAACTGTGAAAAGTGTGTGCCACCTCATTGGAAAGGGGTGACCGACAGGCTGGAAGCCCTTTGAATGAACATGACATGGATGAACAAAAGTGGCCCTGAGCGTGGGACTGGGGGTCACTGCTGGGTCACAGCTGCAAGAACAGAGGGACAGAGCAGCAGGACCCAGAACTACAGGGAAGCAACTATGCATTGTCCCTCATCCCGACCCCGCTCAGGCCTCCAAGTCATTTCAGTACCAAAGTGGATTCCCCACGCTTTCTTGCTTTGTTTCTTTTCTTCCTCTCTCTCTCTCTCTCTCTCTCTCTGTCTCTCACTCTCAAGACAGAGTTTCTCTGTGTAGCCTTGGCTGTTCTTGACTCACTCTGTAGACCAGGCTGGCCTCAAGCTCACAGAGATCCGCCTGCCTCTGCCTCCCCAAGTGCTGGGGTTACAGGCATGTATAACTATGTCCACCTTCCCACACTTTCAAACTGCAAGTTTCTCTATTTTCTTTTGACTCCGTTATGCTTTAATTACAGCATACCTAAGAAGTAATTGTAAAGTCAGACTATGGCTTGGTTTCTGTTTCAGTCTATCATAGCAAACACCTACTGAGGTCTCATGAGCATTTCTTAGGTTTGCAGTTGAAATACAAAGTAATCAAACAAACAAACAAAAACCAAGCAACAGTAAAACACTCTGAGGTGATGTAGATATAAGGGTTTCCTTTCAAGGCCATTATTTTCTGGGGATCTGGGACAGGCCCTGGGAACTAGCTGTTTGGGTAGGCAGCAGAAGTGTCTCTAACGTCCATCCTGAAAAGCATTATTACATCTTATCTTGCAGGAAATAACGGAGTTGGCCTGGTCAAGCTACCTTGAGAGACAAATGTCATAGGATTCTCAGGTCATAGTCTGGCCTCCTGGGGCACTGTGTGCCTTTCAGTTGCTGAGAGACCAAGGCACTCCCTCTCAGGCAGTGAAGTGGTCAGGCCACCTGTGTTTCTCTGTGCTCCTTACAACTTGACAGGAGAATTGGTCTTAGACATTAATCCTACATACCCGTATAGCTTGCAAACATTGTATTCTGGCAACTATCACAGCACTGATTTTGGCAACCGTCATTATGTTCTGTCTCTGAGAAAGGTATAAAAGTCTGATTGCTTGCGATAAGCTTGTCCCGCTCTTGGTCTTACCGTAGCTCCTCCAACCTGAGCCTGGCTTTCATCTCTCACTGGCAATGTCAGGTGACCTTGGCCTGCTAAGCAAGCACTGCTGTGGTCACTGATGCAAGCTCTGCATTCTGTACATTGCTAAACTACTCCGTGCTTGGACGGTGCTTTCGATTAAAACGAAATTTTTCTAAACATTACCATAACATCTGTCACACAGCCAAAATTTTGCTTAGCGGCTAAATTTTCAAAAACGAGTTTTTATATCAATATATTTGTATTTCTATATGATGATAGCATTTTTTAAACTAAAAAAGAAAAGCTTATTCAATACTGATGAAGCTTGTTCTGATCCTGAAGGTAGGAAGGCAGACCAACGATGATCCTGGGGAAAGGGAAGGCACGGTGCTTCCATTACTTGGTAACCTTGGGCCTGTTAAAAAGCCTCAACCAACAACAGATTTCCTGATTTACCTCCAAACATGCTGCGACAACCCCTTGGCTCATCTGCCTTGAATGCATCTCCAGAAAAGTCAAGAGATCCTTAAACTCTGCCTGTTTCAGGCACTCAAGTATGTTGCTAAGAAAATCTGGGACAAGAGATATGGGGAAAGCCCCAGTAGCTGCAGAGGAAAAGGGCCTGAGTTACCAGGAGCCAGTCACTGAGACAGGAGACCCAGTAGAGGAGTCCCCTGGGGTTCTGCCTTCCTCCCCGCCTGCCACAAACCTCAGCACAACCAGCTTTGCTTACATGGAAAGTGAGGTTCAGCTTCTCTGCCATGCACGTTTCTGGCTCGTTCTCCTCACTTGATCCATACACAAAGGAAGTGGGGTTCACAAACCTGAGGGGAACAAGGCCAGTTTGAATGTCCTGTTTTTGTCTTGTTTTGTTTTTGGCTGAAGGACTGTACGGTCTGTCTTTAGAGGTGGACTATAGCACATTTACAAGGTGACGGAGTCATTTTGGTTTCTTGGTCAGATTAAAGCTCTAACTCTGATAAGACAGGAAGGCCATTGGCTCTGACCCAAGTCGCCATGCCTATCCTAACCAATATATGCACTTGCCTTCCTTCCCCACACCTGCCGGCTGGTTGCCATTTGTACTTTTTCAGCTCTAAAGCGATTCATGCAAATTTGGCAAACCTATTTATTATATGTGGATGGCTGCTGAAGCTCAAAAGTCCACTGAACAAGCCAAACACTGACTTACACAGGAAAAGTGTTTGGTAGGATGCAAGGTTTTTCGGCTTTTTAATCCCAGGATTAGAGAAGTGTGTGCTGTGTTTCTCAGCAAACAACGAGAAAGTGCCGTTCTGGGGAAATCCCCATAAGTCACTCGGATTCAGTCACTTAGATTCAGCCACTAATAATAGACAGTCCCCAATTAGGGATCCCGGAGGGAGGGAAGGTATTAGAAATACTCCAACAACACACCCTTGTGCAGTTTAATACTTGTTATCTTTGTCCCAAATCCTACTGTGTGAACAGAGGGGGAAACAGAGGAGGACATAACGAGAAACATCAAGAAGCAGGACGCGAGCTCGGAGAGGTAAGTCAGCTTTGATTTGCTTCACCACTGACACTCAGGGCCTGCTTGTCTGAGAAGGACCACTCCCTTCAAACTGATAGCCTGATGCTCAAGCCTATCAGTTACAGAAACCGACATGTTAGTGCAGTTGGATGCGCCCTTCTTACATGGTTAAAATGATGGAGGGACACATTACATTTAGAGCAATAAGTAAAATCCACCTGTCCATTTTCTTTTGTAAGTCATGTCTTCTAGCGTTTTAAAATGTTTGTGTGGAAACGAAGTAGAAAGTGGCCTGGGAGTCCCCACCCCTAACTAAAAAGCTGTGGGCAGCTAAGGCTCTCTAGGGAGGGAGAGTCAGTATTCTTTAAGGCTGTGGGTGGCTCCTGGTAGGCTGAACACACTTTAGTGGGTGGGCCCAGACTCGGGAGTACATTAGCATCATAAGTTGGAGTTTGGGGGTTTTCTTTTAAAAATGACATGAATTTTGGGGGCACTTAGGGAAGTACAGTGGATATGGGAAGAGTTAGGGGAAGGAGTTGATGGATATGATTAAAACACATTGCATGAAATACTGAAAGAGTTAAAATACTTTAATGTAGTGATTATTGGGCATGTTGAAAACCCAGCCCTCATGACGCAGAGCCAGGATGGTCATCAAAATTTCCAGAACACCCCTCTTACCTACACAAGGCCAGCCCAGACCAAACAGAGAGAAACAACAGAAATGTCTGAAACACAGACTAACAGCTTGAATAATGGCCAGTGGAGGCATTGGCGGTTTTGTCATTCCCCTCTCTTACTCTGTGTCCACACATTTTAAGTCAGGGAATGATCCACACAGAAATGACTAAGACCACTGGAAAAAACAACCTGGCCCCAGGGTCCTGACGGCAGAGCACTCTCGGGGTTCAAGATGAGAAAGGAGATACCGCAGCCAGCTCGCTCACACCTTAGTTGTTAGGCACACAGTTAGGGATGGGCTCTGGAGAGCGGCAGTTCAGCCAAGTGCACGGCCCTTTCTGTCCCTCCCTACTATGGCTGCCGGGTACCCGGTACCACAAGCCGTGTACTACATGACTCTGCCCCTTGGCTGTGAGCTGAAGGATGACCGTGGCCCGCTGGACGCTTATTGGGGCGCTTCCAGTGCAAAATCTCCAGCAGCTGGCCATGAGTTTGATGTAGCATCAGAGCTGATTACAGAGTGGATTAAAAACAATCACCAATCAAGCCACTGCACTCAGAGGTGGTTGCAGAGACACAGCATCCTATCCTTAAACATGTTCAAACACACTCCTTTCATGAATAGAAGAAAAAAAGAAACAACAGAGAGAATCGCCTCTAATCCGGAGGACCCCACTCACCCGTGGACAGTCAGCATGACCTCGTACCGGAGGGGTATCACCAATGTCACGTCGTTGTCCTCCATTTTGTCTGTTTCGCCTTCATTCTCACTGTGGAAACAGAAAACCACGTGAGAACCCAGCCTCAGAGAGCACTTACTGCACACTGTGAGGACTCGATAGAGGATATCCAGCAGCACTGAGGGGAGGGAGTAGGGACAGAAAGAGAAACGGCAGCAAGACATTTTAGGGCAGGGTTGGTAGAAACTGCTCTCATTGTTTGCACTGTTGTCAGTGACAGACAGTGGGTGGAAGACAGCTTCATGGCTCTTGTGAAGCCATTTCCAGAATGTGGCCATGTCCTTTGTGACGGTTGTCTCTTACACACTGGCCCATACCAGGAGGCGTGCACGGAGATGCTGAGGTCCTCATGTGCCCTGCTGAGGGAGCTCACATCCAGGAGAAAGCTTATATCTATCTGAAAAGCAGAGAGGAAAGACCCAGGTTTTAATCTAAAATACATTTTTATAGATTGAATTTTAGTGCTCATTAATAGATTTTGCTATTTCTTGAGGAAAACAGTGGAATGTTCTAGACGTGGCGAAGTCCTTCCCCTCACTCAGCAGTGAGACACAGAAATGGCTGGGTTTAAGGTGCAAGCATTGCCACCACTGCTTTCAGAAAAAAAGCCTCCCTGAATGCAAAGACTGGCGGGCCACCTGACACCATCCGGGAGGCTTCAACAACTTGGTTGAGGACTCTTGCCAAAAAACACCTTTTACTATGGCAGAGGTAACATGCCTGGCAGACAGGGCCACCTGGGGTGGGGGTGCTGGGAAAGAGTAAGGCGGTAAAACAAGTTCTGATTGACACATTTATTTGCCTGTATCGACATAAACAGGTTCTCTGCTCACCACCCCATGCCACGAACAATGAACACTGCTAAGAATAAAAACATGAAGCTCAAAGACACCAGGACAAGTTGTTCTCTCTTAGCTAAGTTCAAAACTACATTTTTAATGCAGCATATAGGTAAGAGGAGATTAGCAAATGAAGAGGCTAACTGCTTACCCTTGACAGCCGGTCCACATATATGTAACCAAGGCTGCAGGCAAGTTTCACTCCGCCTGAGCTCTCCGTCACTTCGCAGTTTATTTGTTTATCTTCCTAAAGGAAAAACCCAAAACCAAAAACTATTAGTCTGAGGAGAAAGAGATTTAGATATTTCTAACATATTTTTAGGGATTTTTTTTTTTTTTAAAAAAATACCAGTCTAGAAATATTTTCTTAGGAAACCGTTTTCTTCTTAGCTTGGTAATAGTATGTAGAATTAAAGTATGTGATACAAATGTGTGTCCATAAGCAAAATGCATGTACTTATAGCCATGCGCATTCTCCACAAAGCCTCCTGGATAGGAGCTTTCATGTTTTTCACTTAGGCTAGGAGGGAATTCTTTGAAACATTGGGGAACAAGGAAGCCACAAAGTCTGTCTTTCCTTCCGTCTAATGCATCTGAACTGTGTTTAAAGTATTTAACTGCAGCAGTTACAATCATAATAGAAATATATTCAAGTACAGGCTCTGGGTACCTGGAATTTATCCTCCTCCTTTCAAAGGAGCTTCTTAGGGATCTGGAGAAAGACGTGAATATCTGCTCTTGAGAGATGAAAGGTCCCTGGGGTTAACTGCCTGCAGGACGCGGAGATCTCAAGGCTAAGGTGCTGGAGGCTTTTCTCTTTGCAACTCAGCCTTGCTAAAACCTCACTAATGAAAGAGTGCCGTGGGCACATTCATGGAGTACACATAAATATATGGGACACTCCAGGACGTCACTTTAAAGCAGGATTTCAGGACTGAGGAAGACTAAGAGCTCAGAACTACTAGATGGGGGCTGAGGACCTTGACTGAAAACACAGAGCAGGAGTTCTGGATGCTTAGCATGAAGGAGCATGCCTGATTGCTCCAAGGTGACATCAACATCTTAAAAACACGTGGCAGGAATGAACTAGTGGTGTCCGAGGAGTCCTCTCCTAACGCTGGAAAGGAAGAGGCCAACACCTTTCTGCTTAGATCCTAAGGAACTCAAAATGTCTGCACACTGAGTGATGTCCAAACGTTAAGATGCTAAATCCGTGGGGTAAACACGGCACTTACATTTGTTTTTAACCTGAGTGCGCTCTACCATTGTGGTTTCTAGAACTCACCAGGTCTAAGATCTTAATGAAATAAAGGCCTGTGGGGAGCTGGATGTGCAGAGAGGTTTCGTAAGCGTCGTCCCCAGCATTGAACAAGGACACATTTAGCATTATGGTCTTCATGCTCCCAACCGCAAGGTACGTTTTGTTTTCATATGGCCTAGAAATTGAGTAATGAAGGTGAAAGTCCGCATAGAAAATATTCATGAACATAAACTATTAACTTACGACAACAACCATGTAATGTCATACAAACAGAGTGATCAGCAGGATCCCAGTGATTTCCCATATAGAACTGATAACAGGAGAGAAGAGAAAGTGATAAGGGACCCCCATGAACGAAGTCTCGTTCTGAGCCTTGAATTTGAGAAGCTGCACAAAGAACATGTGATGAATAACGAAGCAGTCATCCCAGACCCTGGCTGCACCTCACCCTGGAGGGATTTGACTGAGTGGCCCTGGCTCTCCCCACCCTCAGGAGCTGGTGTGGTTTGCTCGTGTTGTGAGCTTTGGGCTTAGTCAGCACGTGTCTTCTCGGCTGTGCATGTTAAGTGGTGAGAAGAGAGCCATGCTGCCCTCTCCCTACTGTTCTATCTACCATCACGTTATGAGCAAAGGGACTTCCAAGGTTCTGTAAAAGTAAACTTCAGCTTGACATTAAAGTTTAATTAAGACTTGTACAAGAGCTGCTTAGAAATAGACGTTTATAAAATATTCTGGCTTAGAACCAAAGCATTAGTCACTGAACACCTTTGGGAGAGGAGCTGGCGCGGCGACAAGCAACAGAAGGTGGAAGCGTGGCACACACAGCCAGCTCCTGAGGCGGCAGCCGATCAGAGCAGCACCAGGCTCACGCTCACGCTCTCAGCCGGACTCCTGCGTTAGTTTCCATTTTAGGCCATTTTGCACAGCCCCACAGTCTCAAGACTTCTCTTTCTAAATGTCCACCTTACTGTAGATCTTCTTTAACAAGACACGGTTGGAAAGACAGCAGCCTGTGTGTTCCATGACATGAAGAGCCAGCCGCACATCTGGACGGGCAGCATGACTGAATCAGAGGCTTCATGGGAATCACACTTCATTCTTCATTAAAACACGCATAATGCAGGCTTGAAATTTACAAAGCTGCTTAGAGTCCACATAACTGACACAAACCCAGGTTCTGTGCACACGTGAAATCATAACTTAATAAGAGAAAAGGGAAACCAGAGAGCTATAATGCCAGGCTCTACATCCCCTCTCAGTGATCACGACTGGATTTTACAAGATGCTCACATAACCGCACGGTCATCAATATATTCTTTCCTGATATAAATCAATTTGGTTTCTGAAGCTTACCTATTCTTGATCAGGATGGTAGGGACAAAAGAAAGAAAAGGTAATGAAGGAAAAAAAGAAGGAAATGAGGGGAAAAAGGTGCCAGATCAAAATACATTGTGAATGGTTATTACAGTTTAATGTCGGAAGACACACAGATTTACTCGACAAAAGAGTACTGGCCTCCAGTCCAAAGCCAAATTATATCCTCTTTTCTTTTTCTTTACTATCATTGCAGGGGACTAAAATGCTGAGGGATTCTTGCCAGCTGAGATAGACCAATTAGCTGACTTTGTTGAATAAAAGCTCAAGGAAAAGAACTGAAAAAGACCTTAAGTTGGGAAGTTGGGCAGACAGTGAGTGGACTTTAGAAGCACAAGGTTAGTGAGGCTTTTATTTTGAAAAGGCAATTGTATTAGATTTTCCCTTTGAGGAGTTAGACACTGTGTCAGAAGCCATCCCTGCTCATCAGTAAGGTCCCCATGTGATGCTAACAGAGCCCCAGATTATTCAGGCAGTGGGCACCACTCCTTCGGTATTGCAAAAGATGAGATCATTTCAGCTTTGGGGAACAAAGCGTGATATCTAATATAAATTAGAACTCCATCCTCCCCTCACCATGACAGATTCCGGGAAATGCATGCACATCAAGTTACAGTAGGCACAAGAAGGGCTATCTCTAATGAAAAGCCTTCAAAAGGAAAAATTAAAAGCAACCAGCCAATTAACCAACAAACAAAGCCCACTCTTGTTCTTGCATCCTTTGCCTTGATAGGCTTGTTAGTATTAAAATTATAATCATTTAAAGAAGAAGCCAAAGGAATGTCTATGTGTATATCGGCTTCCTGGATGCATACCAGACCTGCAGCTACCGTCTCCTCTCAGACATCATACCATTTTGATTTCTGTAAGTCAGAATTAGTCAAACGCTCTGCTCCCTGAAGTTAAAAGCATCCATATCTATTATGAAAGCAGTTGGGGGCAATGTCTATCATTTATTCTAGAAACATGAAGAAGAGTAGAGTGAGGCCATTTACATCCCGACCTCTGTGAAAGGCCTGGCGGCGAGCTCCCTCGTGGTGGCTAATGCCTGTTGTTCTTGGAATTGCAGCAACATGCTTTCTCACCGTTATTTTACTATGGGAATGTCTCTGGTTTACTGTCCCAGGAATTTGTACACATAGGAGGCCTCAGCCTAATAACCATGAGGGAGCATGAATCAGCACTGCTCATCAAACCCTGAGCAGTTTATTGTTGCAGGCATCAGAAATTCATGCTCTTTACTGAGTAAATGCATTTACATAAAACAGGCTTCTAGCTCTGGGACACATAACAGCCAGCAGAGTTACAGCCAGAAGAAGGCATACAACATATGGCCCCAATTTGCAGACTGTTACTGAGAAAGGAGAAAAGACACCTACATGCAGAGATGTTGTATTTTTGTCTGACACAGAATAACTTACTCAAAACACAGTTAGTCAAAAGCTTTCACTGTGGCTCTGGAAACTTAATTAGAAGAGTTCTCATTTGCACATCCCTTAAACGAGTTATCATTAGCCACATAGAAACAGTTTGTAACTTTCCAAATTGACGCGAAGGGACTGGTGCCTGGTGCTTTACACTGGGACTCATTCTATTTCACTGTGATAGCAGCACCTCTTGTCAAAGTCTCCAAGGCGTCAGGCTTTGAGTTACTCACCTGTATTAACTGCATTTTAAGAACTAAAGCATCCCGCAGAGAAGGCACAATTTCTACTATTTTATAGCAAAGAAAGAGGAGGTGAGTAGGCTACCCTGCCGGTAAACCGGTAAACCGGGGACTGTAAATGCCGGACTTGATCAGCTTGGCCTCCCAGGTGAAAGTCTTCACCACCACATTGTTCCTCTGGTTTCAGTGTGATAAAGACTGGTGGAAAATAATGGAGCAAGAATGCTTCAGTGGGGGAGGGAAGAGAGGACAGAGCGGAGTAGGGCAAGCATTAAAAACCTCTGAAAAAGCCAAATGGAAACCTACTATTGTAGAAGTTTCCAAACTTTGTGGTGTTGTGTTATGTGTGTGTGTGAATGGAAGGAATTTAAATGGACTTATCCTATACGGAGGAAGCAACTCCTCTAGCAGACACATCATAGGGTAGGCTAGCAAATGAAGGCCCAGTGCCAGAAATAGGCCATTGCTTCTGGAGTAGTTGGTCTGTGGGATCTCCTAGACCCTAAAACATTACAGGGTACTGCCATTCCTTTTGGCATGTAGAACGTGATGGTAAGACTCTATTGTTAATGACATCATATACTAGAGCCACAGAGTGTGGAGAAATCCATTTGGATTCTGACCTAGAAGCCTCACCCTTATTGGATATAATGATACAAGGTACCATGCATTCCACTCAGGAGAAAAGGGCTCATCAGTCTTACTGATCTGTGGGCCCTGCATGGTTTAATAATAACCATCCTGGTAAGACATAACCACAGATGAAAGAGTGGCATGGGTGTTACGGGAGCAACCAACTATCTTCTCCTTTGTTTTAAGGTCCACTTCATAATATGGAACTTAAGCCTGGTACTGAGGCCAACAACCCGAGGACTAGGTATATCATAAGACCTAGGGAAGAACCTATGGCTATCATTTATTAAATGGACGTATTATTATCAAACTCCCAAAAGGATAAGCCTTATACCCATGGATCAGGACATCATTCAACCTTCATCAAAGCAGCTTTTTTTTTTTTATTTTTTTTTTTTGTTTTTTTTTTTGTGGTAGATGGTAATAAGCACAGAAACTTGCAACTGGTTAACTATAGAGAATAAATTTTGGCTCAGCCCTAAATGAGACATCTGTATCACATTCTCTTTTCCTAATACTACTCAGAGAGATCATTTCAGAAAAAGGGAACATAGAAACACTCTAAGAACCAGAGGCAGTGGAGAACTACAGTGAAAGAGTGTTTTCTGGACACAACAGAGTATTGCCCATGTGAACCGATGGACACTATGACTACATGCACAGAAGAGCTAGACAAAATCCCTACAATGGTTGGGCACAAAAGTGGGCACACACTGGCTGCACAAAATTGACTACATGGGTTTAAAAAAACATGAAGAGAACACATGAAATTTGAAAGGAATAGTTGTAGGGGTAAAGAAGGAGTGGAGGAAGAACAAAGGTGGACTTAATAAAACTTATTACCTCCATCTATGAATTCTCAGTTCATTTAAAATGCAAACCTATAGCTCTCTTCATAGTGTAGGTTTCTTGCTTGGGTCCTATAGATGTCAATGACAATTTTCTGGGGTCCTATGATATTCACTGCCACTAAGCATTGTGGGTATTGTCCTAGAAATGACTCAGAAACACCACCTTACATGTGACCAGCTACTGTTTAAAATTATAGGCTTGATTTTTAAGTGAAAAAAACAAAACAAAACAATACCTCCAATTAAAAACGCTAAGCAATTCTTTACAAGAAAATAGAAAAAACGAATTAATATTTCCATATTTTATTTTCATAAGTTGAGAACATTCTTAGTGACATTTTTCACATAAGCTTTGAAACTTCATTTCTCATGAGCCAGAAGATTTGCAATGAAAGAGGAAAAGAAAGAGAGTGCCTAATGCACACAGATGGAGTCACAGCCCAGCCATGGCTTAGAAAATACTCTTCTCTACAAACACACCTGCCTAACCTTTTTCAAAATCCTCTGATGTACCTAAGACCCATCTATGTTGTAAAACAGATATACAAATGGAAAATTAAAAGTTGTTCAACTAATTGACTCTCAAAGTCACACTGTGCTCTTGTGTAGAGAGCAGTTGCTAGTCACTGTTCCTCAGTGAGCTGAGTGAGCCAGCTGAATCGCTCATAAGCACAGCCAGGTAACGGCTCCTTGACCCTCTGCTGCGGATGCTCATGGCTCTGCCGGCACTGCCTGCCTGAGAAGAAGTCATGCTCTTGCCCAGAGAGATATTCAACATCGTGCCTCAAGTACTCTACTCTTTCCTACTCAATCCCGTGTTCCATGTTTTATAGTCACATTGGATTCTGTTCTTCAAATTATCCCCCAAGTCCTCAGTTACCATCTATGAACTTGAATTTCCATGGCAACAACCCATGACTTCTCTGTACTTCCTTCCACAACTGCAAGCAAGCAATCAATCGTATTTCTCAGGTTCTTAGTTTAAGCTAATGGGAATCTGAACTCCTTTCCAAGGCTAACTCCTCTACCTGTGAGTGGAGTGTTAAGCGCTGCCTCTGTTGAACTCCTGTTCCATCCTCAGTAAACCTCTCTTAGTCACCTCCTCTCCAGGCATTGGTCGGCTTTGGGAACACAGCATGAGGAGAGGAACTGCCTTCCAGCAGGTTCCAGGGCAGTGTGGAGAAACAACACAGCATGCACTATGCCATAGGCCTAGGGCTAGAGAAGGGTCTAGGGGTAAGGAGCTGGTGACAGACAGAGAAGTTGGTGGGAATGAGAGCTTATGTCATGGCCAGACAACTCTAAGCATTCTTCTACTGATGTACAAAAACAAAACAAAATATAAATAAAAAGAAACCCTATGGTAGAGGTGAGAAATGGGACCAAAGCATTTAAATTTTAGGCCCCAAATGAACTACTGAATCTTTATCATTTCTCTCTCATTTCCCTCTCCTGTCACAGCTGCATTCTGTTTTGCTTTTTTTTTTTCCCCCAAGACAGGGCTTCTCTGTGTAGCCTTGGCTGTCCTGAATTCACTTTGTAGACCAGGCTGGCCTCGAACTCACAGAGATCCGCCTGCCTGTGCCTCCCGAGTGCTGGGCTCACAGGTTGGGCCACAGCGCCTGGCTACTGCTCCATAGTTTCCTTCTTTCACTTCCCATGCTCCGAGATGTGCAAAGTGGTCTGAATGCAGCGAACCTCTCTATGCGACGCACGATTACAATGGTTTATTTCAGCAAAACGTAAGAGTACCCAGCCCTATTTATCCGGTTCTTGCCACGTGCCAGATGCTGTTCTAAGTGCATTGTATTTTCTTTTTACTCTGTTTATCATGCTATGAATTTAGAACAAGCTAGTTTATTGTTTTTCAAATTTGTCAAAATGCATTATTTTTTCTATCAGTTTGAATTACATAACCTATTTTCTAGCCGTAAAATATACCAACCATTGTATAGTAAAGTTTATTATTTTCCCCAGTTAAAGTCTTATTACCAGACACTTAACAAGCGTTAAAACATAAGTATGACTATAATGATACTCCAAGGCACATTTTAATCTTGAAATACCTTCTAAACTGCAACGAAAAGTTACGACACACTTCACCAAACCTTAAGGCTACTCACAGGCTTTCAATCTCTAAAAGATGATGCTGCTCAAGTACCTGTTTGTTATGAAAGCATTATTTAGTCCATCACAGTAAAACACTGTCATTTTGTAGGGTTTTTTTTCCCCAAGGTTGCTTTGTGTAGCCTTGGCTGTCTTGGGCTGACTCCCACTCTGTAGACCAGGCTGGCCTCGAACTCGCAGAGACCTGCCTTTGCCTCCCAGAGTCCTGGGATTACAGGCGTGCGCTGTCATGCCCAGCTTATATTGTATGTTTGTTTGCTTTGTTTTGTAACGATGCTGACACTCATAGGCTAGGCCCTCTCTCACCAGAACCCACATGCATTTATACTCTTTATGCACTTCTGATGAAAAACCAAGAAAACTATACTTACTTTAAAAATCCAATTTTTGCAGAAACTTGCAGATCAGCAGAACAATTTTCACTGGCACAAAACCTTGCAAAGTTTATCTAGAAATAAAACATGACATTTATTTTAATTTGTATGTATTTAAAGAATAAAGCACCTGCACTTGACAAAAATAAAAGTCACACATTAAATTATAACATGCCTCCTCAAGGCTCAATCTGAGGGTTAGTCAAGAGTTTTAAATACATAGTTTCAGGGCTAAAGAAACTAAGTCCCCCTTCCAGATTCCATGCCTTAATTTGTCAAGTCAAACAAGCTTTGATAAATTATATTAAAGCTACTATGCAGATATTCAGAATATCAGCTACAAAAACAATCTGCTTTTTTCCCACTCTCTCATGCTACCTTCTGATCAAATTTATTACACAGAAATACAAAATCTAGTTTATTTTAGCCCAGGGAGGGGCAGTGACATATCCAATAATGCAGCTGTATATAGAAACTGAGACACATAACTTTGTGAAGACCCTGAACAAAATTAAAAGATAGCCTGTCGCGAGTTTGTGGTTTTTAAGCTCTGATCATTTAGAAGGATCCATGCAAGTACAGGGTACGGATATATTACTAAGGAAGACCCAAGGGACGACTATGTAAAGGGCAAATGCATAAAAATATTAAAATAGTAGATGATAGGAGTAGACAAACAAGAGAAAAAAGGGGGTGGGCAGAACCTAGAAAAAGGGGGTGGGCTTACAAAGAGGGAAGTGGAAGTGACTATCAATGCAGATGCTGAGATTTATGGCCAACCTTTGGGCAGAGTGCAGGGAAACTTAAGAAAGAAGTGGGAAACAGTAAGATCTGGAGAGGACAGGAACTCTACAAGGACAGCAACAAAACCAAAAAATCTGAGCACAGGGGTCTTTCCTGAGACTGATACTCCAACCAAGGACTATGCATGGAGATAACCTAAGACCCCTGCACAGATGTAGCCCAGGGCAGTTCAGTATCCAAGTGGGTTCCATTGTAATAGGAACAGGGACTGTCTCTGACAGGAACTAATTGGCCTGCTCTTTAATTACCTCCCCCTGAGGGGGAAGGAGCATTACCAGGCCACAGAAGAAGACACTGCAGCCACTCGTGATGAGACCTGATTGACTGGGATCAGAAGGAAGGAAAAGAAGACCTCCCCTGTCAATGGACTTGGGGAGGGGCATGCATGCAGAGGGTGGAAGAAAGAAGGGATTGGGACAGGAGGAGGGAGGGAACCACAGGGGGGATACAAAGTGAATAAAGTGTAATTAATAAAGAATTAAAAAATAAAAAATAAAATACTATCCACTTTTGAAAAACAAAGAGGGGAGTGGCTTGTCACGTGACGTGGTGGCATAGACTGCTCACCCTAGGGACACTGACATGTAAATTTTCCACCAAGTGATTGAGTCAATGTGACTTTCTTTCTACCATTCCTAAACTGGAAAGCGCGTGGTTCTAAGAATCAAAATACAGATTGCGAATTGCTGATATTCTCTCCTGTGTGTGCGTGTTTGCAATATTGGCATTTAAGTTACTGAAGCCATTAGAAAGCAGTTGATGCTAAAAACTAAAGTTCAATAGAAGAGTTTAAAAATCCCAACTGACTCCCATAACTATTTTGATGTAAGACTCTGGGAATTTGTTAAGTCATTATGTTCATTTGATCGAGTATTCTGAACTAAACAGTAGTGATCCTGGGCTCAGACCTGCTAACACGGTTTAAAGCAATTTTGCTGGGACAGGGAAGAACTGAATGTTGGATTATCCCATCCGTATTTTACATTGTGTCTGCCATCAGCGCTTGCTTTGATGAGTGCTTTCGACAGTGCCCTTGTAATCTACGTGCTATTAGACAGTTAAGGTCTCAACACTGGGAAACATGAATACATGTATTGTCAAGGAAACTGAAATACTTGAGAATGATTTAGAAAAAAATAAAAAAAGCAGCAGCTCACTGGCCAGACTGTAGGGTTGTCTTAAAGGCAGCTGTTATTGAGATGTGGCTAAAAACACACAATTTTTTTTTTTAACAAAAGAAATTGTGTCACATAATAAATGGGTTTATAAATGAAACAAACTGAACAGTCCAGTGTGGATCCACAGCCAGGAGAGAGATACAACAAAGGAAGGTGAGACATAAGGAGAAAGAGGAAGCACCCTCAGTTCTGGGAATGACTAAATAACTGACTCTCCGCACAACTGATGTCCTGTGGTTTCTCTTGAGAAACTCATTTCTTCAAGGAGAGAAGAACTTACGTATGTTTTACATAAATATTTATACACATGAACATACAGTAGCTAAGTACAATTTAAAGATATTCAATTGAATAGCCCAAAGGAACAATTAAATATACACACAGAGCGAGAGAGACAGAGACAGAGACAGAGGCAGAGACACAGAGAAATCTTAAATCTATCTTCATTAACAATCCATAAAAATCTGTACACCTAAAGAAGCTAAGAAAGAAAGAGGACCCTGGGTAAGATGCTTAGTCCTCATTCAGAAAGGCAAACAGGATGACATTGGAAGAGGGAGAAAACAGGGAACAGGTCACGAGCCTACCACGGAGGGCCTCTGAAAGACTCTACACTTCTGGGTATCAAAGCAGATGCTAAGACTCTTTGGGCAGCCAAAGAGTCAAACTTTGGGCAGAATGCAGGAAATCCTACAAAAGAAGGGAGAGATAGAAAGATATGGAGGGGACAGGCACTCCACAAGGAGAGCAACAGAACCAAGAAATCTGGGCTGAGGGGTCTTATCTGAGACAGATAATCCATCCAGGGACCATGCATGGAGATAACCTAGAACCCCTGCACAGATGTAGTCCATGATAGCTCAGTCTCCAAGTTGGTTCCCTAGTAATGGGAACAGGGACTGTCTTTGACATGAACTCAGTGGCCTGCTCTTTGACCACCTCCCCCTGAGGGGGAGCAGCCTTACCAGACAACAGAGGAGAACAGTGCAGCCAGTCCTGATGAGACCTGATAGACTAAGGTCAGAAGGAAGGAGAAGAGGACCTCCCCATCACTGGGAAGGGTATGGGAGGAGCTGAGAGAAGGAATTGGGAGGAGCAATGGAGGGGACTACAGCTGGCATACAAAGTACACAATCTGTAATTAATAAAAAAAAATAACTAAATAAATTTAAAAATAAAAAATAAAAATAAAATTTTGTTTTAGAAATTAAAAAACTCCAGTTAATCCATAATTTTTTCTAAACAATTTAGACACATTTCGATTAATTTTGTCATATTTTTAAAAATTCTTCAATTATGTTACATAATGTTTTAAATACAAGAAAATATTCACACCGTTTTTCTGATTTTGTCCTTCTCTTTCTTCTGCTGAAGGATTGGCTGCAGTGGTGGTAGTTCCTGCGTGTCTCGTTTGGTGATCACATGATGCCCCAGGTGGTAAGCGGCCTCCACCTCAACAGGGCTGAGGATGTCTCGCACATCTTTCTAAGGGAGTTGAAAACCAGATGTACAAATAAAAACAGCAAGCACAGTAGAAAAAGATACATAGAATTCTTCCCCTCTAAAAGGCCAAACAGCTGGGAAGTTAGCGGTGCACGTCTTTAATCCCAGCACTCGGGAGGCAGAGGCAAGTGAATCTCTGTGAGTTCGAGGCCAGCCTGGTCTACAAAGAGAGTCCAGGACAGCCAGAGAAACCTTGCCTCAAAACAAAAGAAAGAAAGAAAGAAAGAAAGAAAGAAAGAGAGAGAGAGAGAGAGAGAGAGAGAGAGAAAGAAAGAAAGAAAGAAAGAAAGAAAGAAAGAAAGAAAGAAAGAGAAAAAGAGGCCAAACAAAAACTGTAAGACACAAACATAAAACCTACATATTAGCAGAATTGCTTCAAAAAACTTGGGGTGTGTTCTTTTTCACTACAGAAATGCCCCTGTTGCTTATGATAATGCAAGGAGTATAAAATGGAAAACTGTTACCATCTGATAACATTTGCAAAAGTCTGCATTTCAGCTCTTTCCCTTCTATGCTATTCTCTACGATTGTTGTAACTTGGTATTATAATATACACATTTTTATTGATACCCTCAGTAAATAATTCTAAAGTTTTCCTCAACACTTTTATTGCATTTAGTATTTCACCTTATGGTTACAGAAAAATAATGTCGTTTAATAAGGTTTCTTTAAATCTCTTAGCATACTTTGTATTCAGCTTTACTCATTTGACTTCATATATAGGGAAGGTGTTACTTTGTATTTCTAAGTTTATTGAATTCTCTTACTGTGACAGGTTTACTGTTTGCTATGCTATTATGCATCACACAAAAAGCGTTCACAGATTTATTCATCAATCACACCTTGGTGGTAACCAGTAGGAGATCCATTCTGCTTGGAAAGGAGTTCTTTTCTATGTAGCGGCACATCTACGCAGCCCTTCTGTCTGTTCTTATTTCTGTGTGGTCAGAAGCAAACCTTTGAACGACTAGGTTTTCACATTCATTTCACTATGTTTCCAATGACACACCCCATGTATTTATCCCAATACATTATCAGTTCTTATATTTTAATCTTTATTTCTACAAACATGAATTAATTTTATCTCTTTTAGGAATATTTCCCATAGGCTTATTAATGTGTTTTTTTATTATACTTGTGTTTGATTAGTTACTAATCTCTTCATTAAAATCATGTCATTTTATTAACAAAATTATTTCCTGACACACATGCAAATTGAATTCATTTAACCGAGCTGAAGTAAGCTGAAAGCATCTCTGGAATCAATTAAACCAGCACTAAGAAGATCTGAACGTTGTTCAGGACTCAAAAACATGAGCATGGGAGTGGCAGAAGGCAAAGCATGGGGGCGCTCGCTTAAGACACACTAAACAGAAATGAAACGTCTAAAGCACACGGGCAGACAGACCTCCTTTCTCCCTGGGGTACTCATGTGATTTTACTGACACAGCAACCCACCAGCATTTATAACAGAGGCCGACTAAGCATTACACGAAATAATACATGTCAAAGACCAAGACATATGAGCATGTTAAGCCCCAGAGCTAACATTAAAATGACCTCAGAATTTGAGAGGGCTGGTTATGAGAAACAAAAACAGATGACAAACCTATGTGGTCTTCATTTTTCTTGGCATTAGAATTGTAACTATATCTAGAAGATAATTTGAAGAACTGGGCACAAACTTTCAGTACCTATCATATGAACCATTGAAATCAGATTAACTCAACCCTACTATGTTCTTCAATTTACAAGTTCCATTTTGATGAATACATTCAGTGAATTCCTTTCAGGCTATTAAAGAAACTCAATTATTTTCACCTAAAAAAGACAGATGGTTTTAACCTGCCACATCCTTGAATGGCTGCAAGGATAGACATTACTGGTACAAGGAAGTAATGAAGAAAAAAGAGCTGCACAGACACACATGAGGAAAAGCTGAGATCCGGTAGGCTGTGCACACTCTGATGGAGTCAGTGCTGACTACACACCAGCTGGGAGCCTCCCTGAATTTGTTATGTACAGCATGGGGTTAGTTAGTCTCAGGAAGAGGTCTCTACATGCCAGAAATCAGTGTTGCTAGTTTTTACATACATGGTCAATTGTTCATAAATATTCATACTTGTACACACAATCAACATTTGTACTTGGACAAGAAGGTGGTTTGCCAGATCCAAGCCTGACCCCTATGGAGAAAGCTTTGACATTCCTGTGGGTCTGAGGCATTGGAGCCTTGGAATAGCTGTGCTCATGTCAACAATACGTATTCACTCAAGAGTTCATTTGACCTCTACACATTCCCTCATGGCTTCCTGTTTCCCTACACCAACCTAAACTAGAATCTTGTATCTGAATTCCTTAGAGCAGACTCATGATTCTCCTACTGAGTAACATCAGTGGTCCAGGGTTTATTTTTCTATGGCCATTTCAATATTGGAACATGGCTTAAAGACCACTTCCTAAAATCAAATTAAAAGACTTGATTTTAATGAGCTTGCAATAAATAACCCTCAATGGGTAGGACAAAACTTAGTGTAAATTATTGCTGTGTTATTCACATGATGAAATGAATCTAATAAACATAAAACACATAAAGATTTGTGTTTGTTCAATGTCCTTTTCACAACTATAATGAATACAACTGTTCCTTCTTTTATTCACATTATATATGTTCATATATAACATCTGGATGTCCTTAAAAACATCTGGCTAGAGGTAGAAAATTGGTATTTAAATATTGAGTCTGTTAGGTAGTGTCTGGGAGTAGAACTCCTGTATGCAGAGCTGGAAGAAGTATGCAAACCCTGGCCACAGCCTTTGTGATTAAGGCCTCAAATAAAATTTTTGAGCTGACAAGCAATCATGGGAATTAGATGTGAGAGGTGAAGCATGGTAGCTATGTCTCCTGACCTTAAAATGTCCCTTGGTTAAATATACTTGATGATAGAGATAGAGCTGTTTTTACTGAATCAGAACTAGGGTGCCAGGCTTCTTCCTGCACGTGTGCAGTAATGAAGTGTCTTTGTCTTAAAAGGACGCTGGCTTCATTATAACATCATTCATATCATGGCTTTGCTCTCAAATAGGGACTTTAAAAGGAACATGGGAAAAATACTTAAAGGGCAATCTGGTCCACCATGATTTGTGACAGGAAAAGAGTAACTCCCTTAACCCTTCAGTGAGCCACCCAGCTCACAAATATCCATCAAAGCTTCCTGAAAATCCACAATGCAGAACTCACTGGGTTATCAATTCTCCTCTAGGGGAGCTTTCGCCGATCTCTTCGGAGTGAATACGTTGCTTTGCTTTGTGAAGTAAACCTCTGCTTAAACTATCTCTGCTCTCAACTGAATTACTTGCTTCAAGAAGACAAGAATTTAGAGACCTCATACCAGGTCCATTACTATCTGTATAAGCGTGGCCAGGTTATTTACTGTTTATGTTTTGTAACATTATCTGAAAATGACAAATGGCTATGATTGTGGTGATTCATACACCTATTGGGATGGTTGGACAGCATGATGTGTACAAAATAGCTAGACATCATGGTATTGCACATGTGTTACTTCAAATGTAGCTACATGTTAGCCAATCAAACACTGAAATTTAGTTTAATAACTACTGAGAACATTTGGAGGCATAAGAATGTAGGGCTTTTGTCTCTCAAAGAACATTACACAGATTAGATTTATAGTAATAAATTAGATTTATAGTAATAAATGGCACCTGAAAGAGCTGGAGCCTGAATTACAGCATTCAAGATACCAGATTTCTTTTTTATTCTTTTATCTCCAGATGTTCTTTATTAAATTACTTGGTAAATGATTATCTCAACAGGAAACCTTGACCATATCGGAATGCTGCAAATCAAAGCCCAAATCCCAAGTTATCAACTTGCAAAAATGGAACAGCTTGAAGCCCTGAGTATTACAATAGCAAACTTGATTAAATTATTCCCTGGGCATAGGAACTAGACAGCCACTGAATGTCCCTCCACATGTCCACTGCTTTAATTCTTCTCAACAAGCTTGCTTTGCCCAAATCACATGTTATCGAATTCATCCTAATTTTCCACAAGGTCTTCTCTACATCTGGTGTACATTACTCTCATTATCCCAATTAGCCATTAATTATGCTTTTCTCACAATATATGGACTGTACATGTGCTTTTGTAAGGAAATCACACTTGTTTAACTTCATTAGCTCTACCTAAAGATAGAAGCTAAAACATTAAAAATGTCTTAGAGTAATAGAGTATTCAGGAGGAGAAACATAGATTTGCTTAAAGTTTATATAGGAAATGGCACATATAGGAAATAATGAAAACTCTATGCCACGTTTTTTTATCTGAACTTTCATAAAATAGTTCCCACAAGAATACAAATTACCTTATGCCTAAAATTGGCCAAAACTTTTATTCTTTCTCTTTCATAGAACCTGGTATGTCTGACCAACTCGAGAACTAAGTTGAAGGTCCACAGCCTCTTACTTCACTTAGCTACTGGAGAAATTGTTAAAATAGAGCTGATCAAAATATGAAGTTAAGGGTTTATGTCAAGGCATAAACATCTGAAGATATTTACTCATAGGCCCATTGTGCACACAGGAGTAAAAAGATACATCAAGTTAGTAATTCTATCACAGTCTGTCAAACATGAACCCACATCAGTGTGTGGGAATAATTATTGTGACACACTTATGCACATGTACTGAGGAAGGATGGCCATGTCACGAGCACTGAGGTGGGCTATGGAGATGCTTTAAAAACTCCAGCCAAGGACCATGCATGGAGATAGCCTAGAACCCCTGCACAGATGCAGCTCACGGCAGTTCAGTATCCAAGTGGGTTCCATTGTAATAGGAACAGGGACTGCCTCTGACATTGGCCTGCTCTTTAATTATCTCCCCCTGAGGAGAGAAGCAGCATTACCAGGCCACAGAAGAAGACAATGCAGCCACTCCTGATGAGACCTGATTGACTAGGATCAGAAGGAAGGAAAAGAAGACCTCCCTTGTCAGTGGACTTGGGGAGGGGCATGCATGCAGAGGGTGGAGGAAGGGAGGGATTGGGACTGGAGGAGGGAGGGAACCACAGGGGGGATACAAAGTGAATAAAGTGTAATTAATAAAGAATAAAAAGAATAATTCCTTTGTTGAGCTATAGTTCATGTCATTCCAACCATCCTATTAAGGTGTAAAAGCCTTTGATTTTTAGTATAATCAGAGTGATAAAACCACTGCTTCAATAATAATAATAATTAGACAATTTTTATCAGGCCCCCAAGAAGCTGCTGTCTTTCCTCAATCATTTCCCTATGGTTTTGTTTCTCTCTAGCCCCAGCTACCACACAAGTCTACTTTAGAAAGATTCTAAATGAAGAATTTGACACTGACGTTCTTGAAATGCTCTGTGGCACAAATGTGCGGTTTAGAAGAACAAGGCACCAACTGAACACGAACAAGTACCAACATGGAAAATTAGAGCTACTTTGTAAGTTCGGAGTGCACGGTGGGAAAGCGTCAGGCATCTGGCACTCCAGCATCGGAGAAAAAAGACATACGCGCTAAGATTCTGCTTTCCCCTTACGGAATTCTTTTAAAAGCACAGTGACTATGGCATACAGAAACATGCTAAGTGTTTATTGATTTTGTGTCCTTTGTTATAATAAGACTACAGAAACAGAACTATTGGAAAGACAGTGTCCTCTTGTAAACATCCCGTAATCTATTAAGGAACTAACTTGAGTTGAAACAGTCATTCTACAACTAGCATACCACAGTTTTCTGGCACTCAGCCTTGGAGCAGAAAAGTGAGCATATATGGACCAGCTGACGGTCTTCTGTGCTTAAAAACTAACTTCTTTGTAAATAACACTTTATTATGCTGTGTATACGTTACTCTAAAATGTAAACAATGAGGACACATAATGGTGCAAACAAAACACTAATTCTTAAACAACAAAGAAGACGAACTTTAGAAATCATGTAAAGGTGCTTGCTTCAGCAGCATATATACTGAAGAAAACAGACAGCATCTCCAACAAACTGGAGGTCTACACGTTCAGAATGTGAACAGACCCATACTTATCACCCTGTACAGAAGTCCAAGTGGATCAAAGACCTCAACCTAAAACCAGACACACTAAACCTGTTAGAGAAAAAGTGGGGAACAGCCTTGAGCTCAGTGGCACAGGAGACAACTTCCTGACCAAAACACCAACAGCACAGGCTCTAAGAGTAACAATCAATAAATGGGACCTCGTGAAACTGAAAAGCTTCTGTAAAGTAAAGCACACTGTCATCAGAACAAAATGACAGCGTACAGACAGGGGAAGGATCTTTACTAACCCCACATCTGAGAGAGAAATAATATCCAGAATGTATAAAGAATTCAAGAAATTAAACACTAACAAACCAAATAATCAAATTTAAAAATAGAATACAGAGCTATAGAGAGAATTCTCTGTAGAAGAATATTGAATGACAGAGAAATACTTAAAAGAAATGTCCAATGTCTTTAGTCATCAGGGAAATGCAAATCAAAATGACCCGGAGATTTCACCTTACATTCATCAGAATGGCTAAGATCAAAAACTCAAGTGACAACACATGCTGGAGAGGATGTGGAGAAAGGGGAACCCTCCTCCATTGCTGGTGGGAATGCAAACTTTTACAACCACTTTGGAAATCAATCTGGTGCTTTGTCAGACAATTGGGAATAGTGCTTCCTCAAGATCCAGCTATACCACTCCTGGGCATATATCCAAAAGATGCTCAAGTACACAACAAGGACATTTGCTCAACCATGTTCACAGCAGCTTTATTCATAATAGCCAGAAGCTCGAAACAACCCAGATATTTCTCAAGTGAGGAATGGATACAGAAATTGTGGTACATTTACACAATGGAATACTACTCAGCAATTAAAAACAAGAAAATCATGTGATTTGTGGGCAAATGGGTGGAACTAGAAAAGATCATCCTGAGTAAGGTATCCTAGAAACAGAAAGACATTTATGGTATATACTCACTTATAAGTGGATATTAGCCATATTATATAGGATAGTCATACTAAAATCTATAGCCCTAAAGAAGCTAAACAAGCAAGACCCTAGGGAGGATGCTTCAATCTCATTCAGAAGGGAAAAAAGTAGGAGAAGACAGGGACCAGGACAGGGGCCTTCCACAGATATCCTCTCAAAGACTCTACCCAGCAGGGTATATAAGCAGATGCTGAGACTCACAGGCAAACTTTGGGCAGAGTGCAGGCAATCTTATGGAAGAAGGGGGATACAAAAGGACCTGGAGGGGACAGGAGCACCACAAGGAGAGCAACAAAGCCTTGAAATAACAACAACAGCAACACAGCAGCAACAACAATAATAATACAACATTCATTATGGGGCCTAAAGTCAACAATGTACCCCACTATCATGGAAGCCATGACAGCTCTGTGAGGATACAGACAACAGGGCATGGGAATCTCTGCTAAACTGTAATTCCACTCCAAATGTGCTCTGAAGAAAATGTACAGTCCAGACAACCCAATCCTTTATTCATAGGAACAACACCAGAGAACAGGACGAGATAAACCAAACCCAATTTGCTATTTTTACAATTTAAACACAACCTGTTTCCTTGAGAACATCTATGGCTGTCCCTCATGTTGCCCTGAAAACGGCCTCGCCTGTTCTCTCCGGAGCCGACTACTATAAGTCAAAGCACATCTAGGAAGGAAGAAAATATAAGAACCTCTCGAATCCCTACCACGTCATGGATGGCTACATTAGTACCGTTCTATGCGATTGGCTCTGAACCATCTAATAGCTCTATTCCAGCACAGTAACCCGTGCAGGGAGATGGGAAATGGCTTGGGGATTAGTGCGCAGCATAGCACCAGCCTGGATATGTGTTTACCTAAGGGAAAATTAAGTTCTAAGCTGGGACTACTATTTCAAACCCCAGAAAGGGCTCCTAGGAAGAATTTGGCTTTCTTGTGACAATAGATTTTCTGATGAAGTACATGGTTCACTAATGAAAAAATCCTGGCGTGGTTTCATATGCTAAAATTCCACCAATGTGTGAACATGATGATTGGTTTGGGAGTGAGTTTTTTAATAAAAGAAACATGAAATTCACTGTGCTTTGGCAGGATATCCCCCAGATCACCAGAAGAGCTGTCACCCTGGCCCACCATGCCGCAACTGCACCCGCTCCCGCACACGGCTGGAGCATGAAGGATCCACATGCACTCTTGCTGGCTTCTGCCTAGCGGGGGTCATGAAAAGCAAACTGCCATCCCTACTCCCCCAGCATCCCAAACACACTACACAAAACCTTTGAGGCCCAGCAGAACGATGTAGATACATTTCCAAGCAAGAGGGTGGAGAAGCACAGGGAAAGGGCAAGAGGAAGGAGGTTAGGCACGTCTCTGGGAGCAAGGACACAGGCAAAGGCGATGAGAGGAAGATGAATGGACCCATCGGGAAGTGCGCTCTCCGTCCTCCAGGTTAGCACTGCCCGATGCTTTAACCGGGACAGGAGGCGCAGTCCATAAGCACAGGAAGTTGCTGCTGCAGGAATGACATGGGTGTCTGTATTTCATACTCAGTGGTCTCCCTTACCCGCATGAATGCCTGGTGTGTCCGACATTTCTCTGCACTGCTTGAAACCTGTATGCTTCCTGTGATCACGTCGGAAGTGCCATTAGAGAAGAAGTAAAATCTTGATGGAGACTCTGGCTTTCTGTGCACATCCAAGCTCATGTTGTAAAACAAAACTGCACAAAAACGCAAGAGAACCACAGTTAGCATCTGCGCTTAAGGCACTGAGGTAGTAACAGTTATACGTCATACTGGAAATACCTCACGTTCTTTCCGTGGATTATCTTTACACAGTTAAGCTGAAGTGTGCAAAAAGGAAAAGGAAATAGCATATGATTTCCAAATTATTTTTAATAAAATGAAAATCTCATTAACTTCTTTCCAAGTTTTTGGTATTGACATCTTCAGTTAGTTGCTTTATCCTTCCACATATAAAAATGTGAAAACCACATTATCAAAATTATTACTAACCACACAAGTCTTTGGAGTTTCTTTTGTCTACACAGCACCTGGTGACAGAAGTATAGACTGAGCTCCAAGCTCCGAGCTCTGACATGGTTCAGGATAAATCTATCTCCAGTGATTACATGACTAACTTCCACTACTGTGAAGTTCATTTATTTTTATGTTTCTTATTTGAAGGCTTCATATTTTTTACTTAATTTTCCTATTTAAAATGAACACACAGATCATAAGCCAAACTTTTATAAAATGGTTTTACTTAAAATATACTTTCCTTCAGTCCAGTTGCCATCCTTCGTAATTTTACTGTTCATAGTTTGACCCTCTAGAATTAAACGGTGCAAAGAGAAAAACACGTAGGCCTTTTCCCAACTATTCTAGTGTTTTGGAGGGGTTGATTACAAATCTGACATAGTCAATTATTTAGCTGAAAACCCAGATCCTCAGATCAGAAAACAGGAGGGGGCGGGGTTTACAAAACCATAAAATCATTAAGGCAGATTATAGCAAGGAAGTAATCCCCAGTTCCTGAATCTAAATGGGTTTTTACAAAGTGAGTTAGGCACAGAACTCTGCTGAGTTGCCCTCACTGCACAGGAGTAATGAGGTGTGAGTGTAATATTAAAGGATTTATGTAATTCCTGTAACACTCATTTATAATTTTAAGAGAAACTTTCTCTTCTGAAAATATTTTACCTGTAACACAAGCATAACCTGTATTACTCCTACATCTATTTTCAAATAAATCTTTCAACCATCACTTAATTTCATTTCATTTCATTTAATTCAGAAAATAAAGTCCAGATCAATTGACTTCAACATTATAATAACTGTAATTTAATAACCCAGAGAGCAAGAGAGAGCTGCAATTGAGGTAGCAATCTTCAAATTCATCACCGAGCCAAGTAAAGGAAAGGGAGAAGAAGGGAATAAAAACCCATTCCCATCACAAGGCAGACGTATGGGCTTCAAACAAACCTACTATATGGGTTATTTTTTCACACGAAGTCACTTGATGACAGTTTTAAAGCGTGTTTTATAAGAACACTGTGATTATTGATGTTTCATACATTCATTCTCCGACACTAAGAGAAAACTGTGTGGTACAATGGAGGTGGAAGGACGGGAACAGACTCATCCACTCATGTGCCTTTCAGACAGTCCATCAACTTGTCTACTCTAATCTGTAATTCACTCTGGGGCCACGCTCCTCAGGTGCCAATAACCAGATGAAGGCTTGCTCATCTTCTCATTACTTCAGCTCTGGCCAGGGCTTTTCAAGAGCATTATTAAACAAACAAACAAACAAACAAACAAAACAAGTCTCATAAAGTACAGATGCCAGTTCATTCTGCCCATTATGTAACAAAATTGTTCAGACTGGAACCTCTATTACACAGCCAGAGTTTAGCTCAATAAGTAATTAGCAGCATCTGTGATCCTCATACAACAGCAGTCTATAAGGTTGTTGCACAACCAATTTCACAAATGACTAATATCCAAATGATGATAATCCCAGGTAAATGTATGACTTATTGCGGGCCATTTTTATTAGTAGCTACTCTAATACTGTGTGTGTGTGTGTGTGTGTGTGTGTGTGTGTGTGCACAAAAGAGTTTGAATTAACTAACCTCTTGGATGATCCACATCAATGCTACATTCTCTGTGGGAGACAATTAAGACTTCCCTACATATAGAAAATGGGCACAGTTCTCAGAGCTGATGGTGGCAGCACTAAATCCAGGTCTAGTCCCCAGAGGAGCATCTTTAATTATCCAGATATGACAGCCTATACTTTACTGTGCCTCTCGCTCCTTCCTACCTATACTAGCTCCAGGTTTGAAGGGCTTGGTGGAGCCAAGGACACCTGCACAGCATCTCTGAGTCTCTAGGTACTGTCTCCATTGCTGTTAAAAAGGCAGTAATCACAATAAAACATTTCAAAAGGATCCCTGTGAAGCAGAGGAGCTGTGGTGCAGTCTTTTGATTCTGAAGATTTCACAGGTTAAGCACAGAGGGTACACCTCAGGCTAAGGCGGCAAGTGATGGCCCTGGCTCTGCCTGGTGACATGGATGCTAATCTCCTTTGTGCCCCGCACACTGGTTACAACAACTTGAGAGCCGAAAAGACAGGCAAGAAGTGCACACCAAAAGATTATTCTGTTCTTCTCTAAAGAAATGTCAAATTCTCATGGCAACAAACCGTGAGGGCTCACAGTTGAGTCCTGGATTAAAGAATGAGCGCACATTCAAGTGCGGCCCTGGCTCTGTAGGGCGCTCTTACCAATGTAGCCTGGGACCTCTTTGCCCTTATATGAGAAGCACAGGGTTAGACCCATGCACACAGAGGGAAGTCCATTTTCAGTGCAGTCAAACTTTGTTCTATTTACTGACTCGGGATGGCTTAGAGAGGCTTCAACAATCACCACAGGCCTTGTCCTAAGAAGGCAATAAAATTATTAATATTAATTATAGAATTATTTTACCTTAAGATAAAAATGACATTTGTCCCTGACAACCAAGCAGTGCCGCTAAAATGCTGACACGGGAGTACATGCATATATGCTTCATCGTCTTTTATGTGCAGATCAAGAGACGTTGTCATCTAAATTTATAAAAGCTTTATCTGATGGTCTGTTTAATTATAGCCGGGCAAGGGGAGAAGCTCCAAAATGTAGTAGTAAAACTTCAGGACACCAAAAGGAGCGTCAAAATGGCCATGGATTTAAAAGCTTGCCTCCCACTACCTACTCATTAAGCAGTGAAACACATCAACCTCACCTTAGTAACACGGCAGAATCAGACTGAAAAGCACCAACCGCTACATCTGGAGGGTAAAAAACAGCGGGGTAGAATAATGATCACTGTTAGTTAAAGGGAATTACCTTGCAGCCACAAATACTTAACTGTGTATCACCTCTTGACTGTATCAAAATGGCATTTACAGAAAATTAATTGGAAAAGGCAAACTAGCCACCTTAGATCCATGTCCCCATTTCTCTGGATCTATTCACTCAGAAATAGTGACAGCAATAATTTCACAAGAAAGCAAAGAAAACAAGTAACAGGACAGGAGCCTACCACAGAGGGCCTCTGAAAGACTCTACCTAGCAGTGTATCAAAGCAGATGCGGAGACTCATAACCAAACCTTCAGCAGAGTGCAGGGAATCATACGATAAAAGGGGTAGGTAATTTGATCAGAAGAGTACAGGAGCTCCACAAGGACAAAATACATCAGGGCATCAGGGTCCTCTATGAGACTGTTTCTCCAACCAAGGACCATGCATGGATATAACCTAGAACCCCTGCTCAGATGTAGCCCATGGTAGCTCAGTATCCAAGTGGGTTACCCTAGTAAGGGGAACAGGGACTATCTCTGACATGAACTCAACAACTGCCTCCTTTACTCCACCCACCCCCACCCCTCAGTGAGGAACAGCCTTGCTAGGCCACAGAGGAGGACATGACAGCCAGTCCTGAAGATACCTAATAAGCTAGGGTCAGATGGAAGGGGAGGAGAACCTCCCCTATCAGTGAACTTGGAAAGGGGCAGGGAGGAGATGAGAGAGGGAGGGTGGGATTAGGAGGGAATGAGGGAGGGGGCTACAGCTCAGATACAAAGTAAATAACCAGTGATTAATATAAAAAATAAGAATTAATAAAAAATCTACTTAGAAATTATTTTGTTAATTTTTATACATTTATTCATTTCTATCCTTAGTTTTTGATTATTTTATGGTTTGTGGGTATGCTATGTAAAATACATTTATTTGCTTATTTTTAAAAAAGAAAGAAAGCAAAGAAATTGCACACTAGAGACCCGTGATGGCTTCCAGACAGCACACAATGCTTTGAGTGAGAAACACTCATCCAAAAGCTCCTTTCACATCTTTCCAGACCTCTCCTTTCTTTTCACCACCTGTTTGATTGATTGATTTCTTAGGTATTTCCTTTTTCCTCAAGAACAAGGGCTCTAACATTAAGTCATTAACAGTGTAAAACTGATAACTTGCTTGATCATTTCAGGCTCAGCTTCAAACCTTAAGAATATACAAATACAGTAATGAGTAAGCTGAAGTCCTCCATGTCATTTTCATGTTCACAGTAAAGCAGGGTCCACAAAAGAGCCTCTTGTCATTGCTTTTCCCGAAACCAGGCCTAGTGTCTACTCACCGACATAGCCATTGTTATCTGCATCAATTTGTCCCGAGATAGACTGTCCAAACATCCGTAGTGATTTGCTGATTTGAAGTCCTTCGATTCTCTGGGGGAGGGAGAATAATTTTTTGGGCATGTTACTGAACATCTAATATTTCCAAGATGTTAGCTTGGGTCTTCTGAGGTTTGTACATTGACTAACATACACTAACAAAATGCGTTGTAGATAAATCAAACGCTTTAAGAAAGGCAAAATTCCCCACCTTGAAACAGACCTGAAATCTATTTTGTTACTCAAAATTTATGTTGTGAAAAGGTAATACTTTACAGTATAGTTTTGAGTTTTTCTAAAACAATTCGTATTCCTTTGAAATTTTTTCAAGTTCTGCATTTACTTCCATAATCAACATTAATAAATAGACTTTGGAAAATACGATGTCTATTATTATTTTCCCATTCTTCCCATTCAGGTTTATGGTGAAAGCCTACTGGTTTAGACAAACTCCTTACTATTTAAGAACAGTCCCTTCATCAGTCTGCTCCATCTATTTAATTTCATGCCCAGACAGCAAATTAGAAATAAATGGATGCTATTCACAGTAAGAAAAAAAAATCAGTATCTTTTGCTTGGCATATGTCTAACTTTTATATTAAATCTAGAGGGTCATTTGCCCACTGCTTGTGGCCTCATCAAAATAATGTCAGCTAATTTTTGGAAAATCTTTTTTTCTCAGACTTCAAATGTAGGTCTTTTTATGCACTGAAATGCCCTGAGTCTTCAAGATACAGAACTTAACTGAGAGCTCTGTCATAAAATTGTATTAAGATGCTATCAGTTTAATTACTCTACACAGAAAAGAAAACATGGTCTCATTGAACATTTGACTCCCTGTGCTGGCTCTGTAAAGCATGAAGCTTTAGCTGCAAGAAAACATACTTCATATCCACACGGGCAGACTTAGAAAAGCATGGCCATCGTCTCAAGAACACAGATGTGACAGCACATGCAGAGACATCTGTAATAGGCTAAAATCAAGAATAAAAATGGAATAGAACCCTCTGGAAATAAATGGTTTAAAAAAAAACTTTTGAGAGTTTATTAAGATAGGACAATTCCTGGGTGTGGTGGTGCACGCCTGGAATCCCAGCACATGGGGAGGCAGAGGCAGGTGGCTCTGTGATTTAAAGCCAGCCTGGTCTACAAAGCAAGTCCAGGACAGCCAAGGCTACACAGAGAAACTCAGTCTTGAGAAACCAAATAAATAAATAAATAAATAGGGCCATTTACCAGTATCACATGGTAAAATAAAATGTTAAGTATTTGAAAGGAAAGAAGTCCATATTGCAAGTCGAGTGATGAGGGGACTTTAATCACCAATGCTCTTTGGGAAGGCTGACCTGTGAGTAGGTGGGTGAGATCCCATCTTCTCGGCCATTGTAAATGTAGATGGCTCCTCGCAGGTCATCTTCTTGTGGAGCCCCAATGGCAACATCTGTTGGATGTAAATAGTAGAAACATTAGAACTCCTGAACGCAAAGAATTAACTTGGAAACCTAGCCTTTCGTGATCCTGAACATGTGTGACATAATATGAAAACTCTCTCTTATAAGGAAACTCAACCGTTCTTCCAGAAAAAAAAAAATACTAACTTCCTAATGTTCAGGATGATGCGTAATAGTGTGTGCATGGCAAACAACAGAGTGGATGGCTTTGAAGGGCACTCTCTCGGGATGGCTAAGCCTCTGGATATCCACTCAGCCTTGCTCTGTGCCCCGCTGCTGTGAACCCCATGTTTCATTTGTGTCTTGTTCCCTCATTCATAGAATGAGAGCACAAGGACACATACGCTCAGCATGAAAGGATACGGGACATTAGCTGCATATGACAGCATCTGGCATGTTAAAATATGAGAGTGTATGACCACAAGAACCTTAGTTTTGAGCTTCTGGCCTTTTCTATTACTTAAAAACAGCTTCAGAATCAATTCTTTCTCCAGTGATATATATTAAAGATACACACATACAAATACGGTTTCAGAAAATGTCTTATTTTGTAAAATAATGACAGAATGAATTTATTGTGATTAACATTGAATTATGACACTGGAAGAAAAAAAAATATGATCTCATGTGAAAAAACCCAAGAGTAACAGACATGCTGACTAATATCATTGCTTAAGTGATGTAAAAACATGTAACATGAAGGAGAGAACTAGCATCCCATAGCTGCAAGAACACGCCATTGTTACACCACATAATTCTGGTAGGCATATTTATGTATTTATTAACGTGTAATGTTTTTAATTATTTTAACTAAAATCTAAAGAATAGAAAGTTCATTTTCATAATAGCACATAATGTCTGGAATTTTTTTTTCCTCAATCACAGTGCTAATTTTGGCAGCTTTTTAATACAAACCATATTTTAAATGTCAATAACAATACCAAGAAGACACAATATACAATTCTGAGCCATGAAAATAACTATTTAAAACACACTTTCTGAACTGTAGAAAGTTACTGCTCTCTGGGGAATTGCTCACTCTCCTCTCCCACACATTCATCATACGTACACAGTTTTATCAGATTAATCAACACCCAGTAGTAGACTAAGAGGAGAGCCTTGTAGAGGAAAGTATTTCTACAAACATGCTGATATCCTGAGCAGCAATCATGGTGACGATGGTGCCATTTATTTAATCCTGAAAATGCTTCGGTATCAGTTGATGGATATCCACTGCCCTAATTCTCAGAGCTGCCCTCACCAATGCTGTGACTCTCTAAATCCTATAGCATAGCAGCATTCAGTGTTCCTGGCATAGCAGGGCTCACCAGAACGTGCTCCAGTTTCACAGCCAAACTCAGCTGGTTTGCTCAGTTTCTGGGATGTCCTGGTAGTAAAAGATCAAAGCCCAAAGTTCTACACCCCTTGTATTTTCTTTCTAAAATAAGGATCTTTAAAAAAAAAAAAAAAAAGATGGATATCACAGTTTCATAGGCATCAGTTTTACAGTTTTAGAGATGGGTAAAGAACTATGCTATTTATTTTCAATGGTATTTTTAGAATCAATAACATGCTTTGACCAGCACCCTTGAATTAACCACAGCAAAGATCAACAACTAACATCACATAGAAAAAGTTAGACAGCAGACCATTCCAGCCCCCTCAAACAACACAAATGACAATCACGTTTTCTTCCTTCAGCTATTTTAAAAGTGGAAATGGTGTACCAAATGAGGGGTTTTAACTTGCCTTCAAAGCCATCATTGTCAATGTCACCAAGATTTGCTATAGACTCCCCAAACCTTGCAGCGTATTTGTCACTCCCGATGAGTACAGCTTCCATTTCGTCCATTACCGCTCCCTAGGTAAAAATGGAAAGAACGCTGTCATGATCAAACTCCCTGACAACTTTACAGATGACTTACTGCCATAATTGGATATGGATTTTTCCAATGCATCAAGCCACAGACTGAGCTTCAGTACACACATCTAGGTTCAATTCAATAAATATTTATTAAGTCAACACATATAATAGCATGATTAGAGCTCAAAGGACATGGGAAATTGTCGAAATCATGATCCCTAGCTTTGAAACTCCAATAAATCATTTTGATAATTCAATTTAACAAATATTTATTGAGCTCTTGCCAAAGACAATGCACTGGGCAGACAAGCAGGTGGAAGGGCCAAGGAGGAGCAGATAGATAGATAGATAGATAGATAGATAGATAGATAGATAGATAGATAGACAGATAGACAGATACATATATACATGCGTACATACATATGTATATATCACCCTGTTTCCTCCAGAAACCACGGTTACAAGAAGGGCTTAATACAAGCATGTACATGACTTACAAGTACAAATTGCTTTGCACTAATGAGAAGAAAGGAAAATAATTCTAACTGAAGCAAGGAAGGAATTCCAATAAGGAGCAGGAAGGAAAGACGACCTCAGAGAGACTTTCATAATGTGAAATTCCAGATGGCTACTGCAAGGAAGATGTGGTTTTGATATACAGTAAAAGCGATCAGCAAAACTGTTACATGTCTGAGTAATACATATGTATGTGTGTATTAATATACATGTTAATTAATAGGTTAATTAATATGTCGTATATAATGACCAAGACAACCAAAGCCAAATTGTTGTCTGACAGTATACAGCAACTGGATTAAGATGGAATTTTACTCTTTCTGAAGTGAACAATAGGCAGCCAGGGGAGGTCTCTGAGATGAAGAGTGACTTAAGCTGCCCTGTGGAAATTTATCCTAGCAGCCAACAGCTATCTCTGAAGTTGAAGGTGAGCTATTAAATATAATGTGTATACATTATATATAAGCTGTCTAGGAATGCTATGATGCTGAGTTGTGATCATTCCAAGCCCGTGATTTAGAAACAAATTCTACATGCCACTAATAGATCACATCCTCTTCTCTGGTAAATCTATTCTTCGCTCCACAAAACCATATCCTATGCTTTGCCCAAGTGCCCTTCACCTTTTCTTTTATAATAGAAAATTCCTAATTTTTCTCCGCTCTCAATTACTATTTTTTCCTTGAACTACTTTGGCCCAAAGTAAATCATTCCTATTTTGCATGTGCTTCTCACCCGCCATTTACCACGTTGTCTTCCAATGACTCTGGCGTCTCACTCAACCCTAAAGTTTAGAGGTCACAACTGGGATTATTTTCAACTTTTTTCATAGTATGCTCCAGACCAGATTTTTACTAAGGATCATTTATTTTATTTTAAATGAATTAAAATGTTCAATGTATCTTTATAGATGCAATCACACCATTCCATGTGGCACAGGATTAGGTCCATGGACTGGGGAGGGATAGAGGAAACAGGCTCCTGAGGAAATGACTAAAGGAAAGGGAGGCAGGGAAGACAGATCACATATAACCGCAAGGGAAGTCAGTGGCGATTGCTCCTGTTCAAGTGTTCTGCAGTCATCAAGAATGGCAAGAAAGTGCTCACTGGGGACCCCTGAGAGCTCTTTAGTAGATTAGGTCAAAATGCAAGCCATTCAAGTAACCTTCCTTTTAGTTCATTGAGAACAACTCCGGAGTGTCTGCCTGTTCAGGACTTCTTCAAGCTATGAAAAAACAAGGGTAGACTCCTTTAGCGACTCCTTTCCCGTATTAGCACAGGCAGTAGCGGATGAGGAAAAGAAAATATTCTGCTTCTTAGTGGCTAGTGGCATTTCAGAGAGTTTAAAAATAGATTAAATGTGAAGAGAGAGAAAAATACATACTACAGGATTTAAAAATGGACAGCAAACACTAAAGAGGTCCCAGTATTCAATGGCAGTGCTTCTGGGTAAATCAGAGGGGAAGGCAAAGGTTAGCCTTGAGAAGAGGCTCTATCTCTGCTCTCTGGGCCCTTCTCTTGTGTGTTTTCACTCAGGGGTAGTCTAAGCTTTCAGTGAGAGAGAATGGTCCGTTACTCCAGTGATGACTTCTACTCTTTTTTTAATTTAAATTTTATTTTTATTAATTAGAGTTTATTTACTTTGTATCCCAGCTGTAGCCCCTTCCCTTGTCCCCTCCCAATCCCACCCTCCCTCTTCTTCTCCTATGCCCCTCCCTGAGTCCAATAATAAGGGAGGTCCTCCTCCCTTTTCTTCTGACCCTAGTCTATCAGGTCTCATCAGGACTGGCTGCATTGTCTTCCTCTGTGGACTGGTAAGGCTGCTCCCCCTTCAGGGGGAGGTGATCAAGGAGCAGGCCAATCAGTTCATGTCAGAGATGGTCCCTGTTCTTATTACTGGGGAATCCACTTGGAGACTGAGCTGCCATGGGCTACATCTGTGCAGGGGTTCTAGTTATCTCCATGCACTCTTAAACTATTTTTCAAACATCTCCTTGTTAAGAGAAGTATAGCATATATTTTCCACAAGGGAAAAATGAGAGACACTTGCTGAAATAAGGGTGTAGTCAGTTCACCCAAGCCCAGCTGTGAACGGGACGCTCAGATCTGGGAGACCCCTGTCCTGAGGGCAATGTGCCCTCTCCATAGTAAACTTAATTTTAAAAAAGAGTCTAGGGAATCTCTGCATGTGTGATGCCTCTAGTCTAGGTTCCGAATTTTGAGACTCTTCCATCTTTCTCAGACTGGACACCTTTCTCCTTTGTGTCGAGTGGAGTTTAGCTTGACATTGGAAATGAGCCCTTATTAAGTTCTCTGACATGTTTGACTTATCGAGGCTGCAAGTACACTCTGCTACACCTTGACTAAAAGCTGCTCTGTCCTAAGACATGAACCAGTTTTTTCACAAGCCTGCTCTTATTTTCAAGACACAGGATCCACTTCAGAATAAATGATACCAATCTCATACTCTTTTAAGAAATAATCCAGAGGAAGTGTGCCATAGTGTTTTATCAACACACATTATTTCTGCTTTCAGGTCAAGACCTTGAAAACATCGAGTGTGTCATCTATTCTGAAGAACAAACACTTCATAATTTACTAAATCAAATGAGTACAGTGATTATTGGGTTATATAAGCATCCATTTTGAATTATTACCAAAAAGCATTCTTACAGTTTTATTTTGTGCCCAAATGAAACTGAAGGAGATTTCAGTTACTAGAGTGAGCCAGCCCACACAAGCTGTATACATAGATTCCACTGCGCTCCGATCTCCCCTTTCCAGAGCAGCTGCTCATGGTTGTGCTCTGTTTCATTTTCCGTACAGCAGTAGAAATTTTACTTTGGTCCATCAAATACAATTAAGACTGTATGTTTGACCTGACAAAACTACTCGTAGATAAAAGCGCTTTCTGTACAAGTCTCACGACCCAAGCTAGATCTCAGGAACTTGTAGTAGGAGAGGCCTGATTGCCTCTGAGCTCCTCCACTTGTACACCATGGCCCAGATAGGCATGCGTGCACATGCGCCATGCGTGCACATGCGCCATGCGCGCACATGTGCCATGCACTTGTGTAGACACACACAGGAGTTTCATAAAGGAGCTATCGTCTCAGAACTGTGAAATAAGAGCAGTTTCAGGTTGAAATTATAATTCACAAGTGACTTCCGGCCTGGGGACCATCAGACTCACCGAGCCAGAGTTGATGTACACGAATACTCTCCCTTCCTCCCTGATGCTGCTCTGCATGGGAGCCCCGACGAGGAGATCTGAGAAGCCGTCCGCGTTGAGGTCCACCGCACAGACAGAAGCTCCAAAGTATGAGCCGAACTGTGGCGAAGCAGAGCACACGCACAATGAGAGCGCACAGGCTTCCCCTCAGGAGCCCTTGGCACCCCTAAGAGCTGAGCTGTATTTACCTTTTTACCTTTCATTTCATGGATGATGTGCAGTTCATTTTCGTCGATGCTGAATATATATGCCTGCAGTGGGGAAAACGAATTCAAAAGCCTTTACTTTCCTATCAAACATTCTCTTAAAAAAAAAAAAACAAACAAACGCACACAACTTATTGGTTTAGTCAAAACATCAATTTGCAAAACTCATAAATGAACAAATATAAAATATCACGTTTAATAAAACTGTTACCACTAAAAAGTTTAGGTGTACCATGACTTATTAATAATCACGTCAACACGCCTGACTTGCAACACTGTTCTCTCAGTAACTAACTTTTGGATCCCGTAGAGAAGGCACAGAAAAAAAGGTTTAGCAACAAATTGAGTGGCAAAGTGGAAATATTTAGAACCAGAATTTTTCTGTTCTATTCTTTCCAGTCTTACCATGCAGCAGTACCTGTCTGACCTCCCTTCTACTAAATAATAACCAGTACGTTCCGGGGCATCTGTAGATAATTGTACGTATAAGCAATTTACTCATAGCAAAGCCTTGCTTAAGCTGTGATTCTCCTTAAAAATTTCCCAACCAAATTTATTTGAGAGCCACAAATAAATCTTGACCAAATTCAACTGATACAATATACTGCTAATCACTTTAATCTTACTTTTCCTATTTGTTCATGCTGAGGGGCTCCTCCCACGATTTCGGTGGTATGTGGACTTCGAAAATGACCAGCTCCAACTGAGTAGCCTTTGTAAAAGGGGAAAAATGCATGACATTCACCATTAACAGCAGCTACATGCTTTTCTAACTCCTTGCAACGGAGCGAAACAAAACGATTTGAAATGTCTATTTTAGAAAATGCCTCAAAAACATATTAACTTACAATGGTCATCCAGGCAATTTTAACATACATATTATAAAAACAGGGACACAGATTTGAATTTCTAAAGCTATCAATATTGAAAATATGACCTTGAAACTTGTTCTATTATTCTATAGGCAATATAATGTGCAGCAGGCTTCCAGTATTGCAGCCGCAACAGCTGAGAGTACAAGAAATGCTGACGCTTTCAAATGACAATCGTTCCAGATTTCATGCAACCTTTCTATCATATGGACCTTACACAAAAACATTGTTTTGCGTGATAAAGAGACATACTCTGCAATACTCATGACGTCCTCCAGTCACAGATAATGGAATGTCCTGTGGGCTCTGTTCGAAGGATATTAAAACGCTACTTCCCAGCGCTCTTTCTAAGCACAAGATGGTCACATTTAAAGCACAGATGGGTCAAATAAACCTTTGTTTAAAGAAACTACAGAATATATGTAATTTCTACTGTAGGGGAAACATTGACTTAAAATTTGAGTTTTGTAGAAACTGGTGACAAAATATGATACTTTTGCCTTGTGAAATAATAATGAAGAGAAAAGAGAAAAGGACAATAAAAATAGTTAAACTCTGAGAAACAATCCAAGATATTTTAAAACTAATGTGCTATTTAGAAAGGTCAAAATAACAATTTTTAGAATATACTTCATAATATTCTCCTTTTTCTAGAATGCTATTTTGAGATCCATTGGTTTTCATTTGATATTCTATAAATTAATGCAAATGTATTCATAGACATGTGTTTAAATAGGTAAATTAATACAGAGTTTAGTATAAAAACTTCCTAGAGAGCCAGGAGTGGTGACTCACACCTTTAATTCCAGCACTCAGGAGACAGAGGTCAACCAGGGTTATATAGAAAAACTCTGTTTTAGAAAGAAAGAGAGAAAGAGAGAGAGAAAGAAAGAAAGAAAGAAAGAAAGAGAAGGAGAGAGAAAGAGAGAAAGAGAAAGAAAAAGAGAAAGAATAAGAGAGAAAGAGACAAAGGAGAGAGAAAGAGAAAAAGAAAGGAGGAGAAAGAAAAAGAAAGAGAATGAGAGAGAGAGAAAGAAAGAAGAGAGAAAAAAGAGAAAGAAAAAGAAAGAGAGAAAGAAACAAAGAAAGGGGGGAGTGAGGGAAAGAGGGAAGAAAAGGAAGAAAAAAGAGAAAGAAAGGAAGGACAGAAGGAAGGAAGGAAGGAAGGAAGGAAGGAAGGAAGGAAGGAAGGAAGGAAGGAAGGAAGGAAGGGGGGTACTTCCTAAGACACAGTGGTCATTCAACAGTTCTTACATGAAGACAGAAGGATGACGACTGTAGTCACCAATGTCAGAATAAGACATGGAGTTAATGAAAAGTAATTGGCTTTATGCTTAATTGAGACAGTTTCTGATATACCTAATTGTCACTGGCCAATGGGACATTTAGAACAGCACATATAATTTCTAAGGCACAGATAATCTGAGTTGGTCAACTGTTTACAGTACCTAAGTAACTTCCAAATTTGACTTGATTCTGTCTGTCTACGAATGCCTTGTAATTGTTTGCAGTTATACTGTAGACAATGACAGAGCCAGTCCAGTAAAATGATCCCGGGGCCCCCATCACGATTAAATCCTGCAAGAGAAAAAATCATCATTTGAAAGTTAAATCTCACTACCCCAAACCGCTTACAAATATACAGCATTGTAGGCAAATAGTCAGGAAGTGGATTTTATATTGATGCTCTTAAATGGGAACATTTTATTAATATAAAACCATATATTAAACAGCCAGAAGAGCCAAAAGTAGAATTTTAGAGAAGAAACTCAAACTCCCTCCACATTTACCAGTGGCTTTCAAATATGAAAGGCAGGGCCATTATACACTAGAGTAAGCTTTGGGGACAAAGGCAATGTGGGTCAGCGAAAGACACTCATCTGTGTATAATTCATTAGGGTTCATTACCAGGATAATCATGTGTTACCAGAGAGGAGAAAGGGCTTAATTTATTTCAATTTGCAAAAATCACTGAATAGTGTTCCTAACAATTTCAGCTCAGATAATAAAAAGGCTAGTGAAATTTAAGGCATATTTTACCATAACTAGGAAGGAAGGAGGGAAGAAGCAGGCCCTTCTCTCTGTTGCATAACAACTCATAGCAATCAAACCTAATTAACATATTGTATATTCTCTAAGCAATTCTGAACTTTCAATGTATTCACTTCCAAGAAAGAATTGTTATAAGTATTTGTAAATATGCTAACATGTATAGAAGCAGTTAACACAAAATGATGTTTATCTCCAAGGAGTTGGAAAACATTCATGGATCATCATGGTTTTTTGAGAGAGCTGGCAACATTTATTTTTTATTTTTTATTATGATTATTTAACTTGAGGGCTCAGGGAGTAAAGAGACTTTGGTATCACCTCAGATAGTCAAGTAAATTTAACCCTCATACTATCATAATTTTGATGAAAAACAGACCCATGTATCTCCTTCACCCTTACCTGGTAATTAAAAACAATATAGTTGGGTAGATAGTGTTGGTTTTTAAGTTACCAAAATAAAACTAGCTTCTTTAGATCTCCATTAAATTCTTGGTAGGGGCGTTAGTCTGAAGTGTGGCTTTTAGCTAATCCTGTGTTGTATCCGTCATTTACAATTTAATTTTCTAAAATTATATGTGGCACATTAAAAGGTACAAACAGGGTGACAATAGTCTACAGCTTAAGAGATGTTATTCAAATGTAACATCTACGATGAGTCTGGAGAATCTCCAGAATTACTCTTCTACACACGCAGTCACTGGAGTTAATACTGGGCTGTTACCTGTGTGTAAAAACTAGATATTCCAGCTTGACACGATGCAAACTTTTCTCCAAAATTTTTCATAAAATCTAAAATAAAATATTCAATATTGATTTAGACAAATTGGGACTATATATTTTTGAGATAGAGTTTGACTGTGTAGCCCAGGCTGGCTTTGAACCCAAGATCCTCCTGACTCAGACTTCAAATTGTTCAGGATTAATTTTTATGATAATGATATCATCCCTCTTAAGATCTGTATCTTGAATTTCACTTTTGAAAATAACAGTAATTGTCATCATTTACTATCCTTCAGCTCTCCTGTATTAATCTTCAAATTATCACCATGAATCGGGCTCTGGAGGAGGCCTGCCATCCCAGGAGGAGCCTATTAAGAGCCTGCCCAGCCTTTTTTTTCTGACCACCTGGGACACAGCCAGCAGAGGAACATCCAGGCCTGCAGGAGCACCCAAACAGCAGAAGTGCTCCACTTTCAGGCTCAAGGCTCTGCCTGCCTCCCCGAGGAGTACTGTCAGCCTCAGGAACATGCAGCCAACACCAGGGACAGACAGCTAGCTAAAGACCAGCGTAAGAGCACAATCAACAAGAGCCAGGGCAATGTGGCATCACCAGAACCCAGATATCCTACTACAACAAGCCCTGGACACTCCCACACAGCTGAAGCAAAAGATGATGACCTTAAGTCCAACCTTATAAAGATGATAGAAGCCTTAAGAGAGGATATGCATAAACTCCTTAAAGAAATACAAGAAAATTCAAACAGGTGTAGGAAAAAAATAAATCCCTTGACGAAATACAGGAAAATACAATCAAACGAGAAGGAAACGAATAAAACTGTCCAAGGCCTGAAAATGGAAATAGAAGCAATAAAGAAAACACAACCTAAGGCAATCCTGGAGATGGAAAACGTAGGGAAGAGAACAGGAACTACTATCATGAATCACAGGTAAAGGCATTTCTCCCTTTGCTTTCTCTTCATGGGGAAGATTCACAACATATACTAAAAGTTAAAAAGAATCAGTGAGTGAGAACCTACACGGTAGCATTTCTGTGTTTGGGTTCGCAGTTCCCCGAGTTATTATACATGTTGGAGGTGCACAACAGTCTGTTCTTCAGGACATACACACACCCCACAGAATGGCCCCTCCCTAAAGCAACTTAATACACTCTGTCTTCATGGTAACTTTTTGTTTAGCAAAAACAATGGCAATCTACCCTCTTGGCAAACACCCACAACAAGCTGTTACGTTAAAGACAGCTGTTAGACTCACTCATCCTATAAAACTGGACCTCCAGGTCCTTCTCCACCTCCCACCTCCCCAAACACTTTGCCATTCTGTTTCTTTGCATTTAGTGTGTTTAGATTTCACATGCGTTTTTATGTGTTATTTTCTGTGCCTGGCATATTGTGTTCTAACTAGCAGAACTTCCTAATTACATGTCTTTGTATGTATGCACACGTACATGCGCCAGCCATGAAACTCTCAACCTACTTAAATGACTGCCGAGTTTTGTGGGTTTCTATTCTCAGGATCTTGAGAAGCCTCCACAGAGTCCTTTGTCATGCTGCGGTAATTCGCACTCATGCTGCCTTTGCTAACGGTTATCGCTCATCTTTTTGGTAACTGCCCATTCTAATAGTTAAGAGGTGATCTTACAGGGTTTGGTTTACATTTCCTGCTGGTTAGTAACACCAACTGACCTTCCTGCAACCATCAGCCATTGGTCCGCTTTCCCTGGGAAGGAAAGATCTCTCCGCTCATTTGATGGCCTTCCTGGCTATGCAGAAGCCTTGCTGCCTGCTGTCCTGCTCTCATCTCTTTCTTGCTGTGGCTGGAACTTTTGTTGTGACCTCCAAGAAATCATTGACTAGACAGTGTCAAGGTGCTTACTCTCTCCAGGGCTTCCATTGCCGGAGGTGTCACATTTACATTTCTGTTCCATTTTGAGTTTACTTTTGTGTATGTCATAAGAAAAGAATCCAATTCCACTCTTTTGCAGGTGGATATTCAATTTTCTCACACCAATTTATTGAGGGGATTATCCCCTTTCTCCCATTTCACCTCACTGAAAGAATCAAGACCCATCTGGACTTGTAAGTTCTCCTACTACAAAGCCCTGTGGCTAGGTGCTTTGGGGATTTTTAAAATGACACAGCCCTGCTTCCTATTTTGAAGTGCTTTCATTCATAAGCTTCTCTAAGAAGAAAACCCAGGACAACGCCTTCCTTTTGACACGTTACTACATCATTACATTAGCACCCTCTGCCGTGATTTTGCGCTCGGGTAGAATTTTCCTTGAGCCCTTATTTTATAAATTGCAGTGGGCTATGTTTATATAATCTTGACTTTTAAAAGGATATAGCTAGAGATATCTTGGCAAAAAATAACTCCTGCATGAAAGTGTTTAAGTATATAAAACAAAACTATTAGGAAAAAGGGAATAATAAATATGTAGAACTCCAGACTATTTTATTACAATTGAAAATTTAATATTCACCTTTTATCTTCTTGCATTCAAAGGTAAAACATAAACATTTATCATATGGACTTTTTGTGACATCAGAATCCAGACATGAAAGACCCTAAAATTATCAGAATCAGTAGGTAAATTTAAATATGCATCTAAAGTTTTAACAGTTAATTAAAATCATCTTTGGATGATAATGGAGATGGTAAAGTATTTTTATCATTAGAAAGAATTGGTATTCACACATATTTTTAGTGTTCTAAAAACAGTTTTAGAGTTATTGATGATTTCAAAAATCTTAAATGCTACTGACACTAATCTTTATATTCTAGTTCTGTAAGTAAAATACCCACAGCAATTGATTTCCACTGAGACAGACTTCAAACTTTAGGCCGGCGGTTCTCAACCTTCCTAATGCTGTAATCCTTTAATACAGTTTGTGTTGTGGTCACCCCCAACCATATTATTTTTGTTGCAACTTCATGACCACAATTTTGCTACTCTAATGAATCATACTATAAATATGTGTTTTCATACTATAAATATGGTCTTAGGTGACCTGTGTGAAAGGGTTATTTTAGTCTCAGGGGGTCGCAACCCAGAGGTTGAGAATTTCTGCTTTGGACACTAATCCCTTACATTTTCAAGAAATACATATGAGCCTGGGAAAGGGAATTAGGGAGGCCTTGCTTTTACTAATGCCTTGAACCCTTTTAAAGACTCCTAGAAGCTTCTAGGAAAACAGGAAATGTACTCATTTTCTTTCTAATGAGAGCTTTTTATGTAATTTCATGACTTTAAGGATCCTGTTTCCCAGGCATTAGACGTGCTTATACTGATTTGAAAATAAATATAGTGCGTAAGTGGATAATTACCAGCTAGCTTCCACACTTTTTCAAATGAGACCGAAGGACTGCTTTTCAAAAGCAGGGAGCTACTACACGGGATGCTCTGAGTGAAACAATGGCCATCACTAAGATCTTCGTCTGTGAGGAGGCAAAACGAAAGCGCACAGAAAAGCCGGCTGAAGGCCTTCCTTTGCTTCTCCCCATCCTGACGCTCCGCGCCACACCTACCTTGGTAACAGGGAACCATCCTCTTACTCAGTTCTGTCCGCAAGTCAGAAGGCACAGCATAGCAAACGCCACTGGGGAGCTTATTTTCGTTCTTCATGTAAAATATATTTTTCCACCTATGCCCACAGGCCTGGGTCAGACAAAAGTAAAACAAGGATGAGAAGGTCACGCCTGGACTGTGCGATGCCGGGGCTGAGCTCGGTCGGTGGGCCCCCTTCAACACCTACCAGGACAGATCCGTTTTCACCTGGCTGTCTGGAAAGCGTCACCCCCAGCCACTGGTTATCTCTCTCTTCCACGCAGGTTCTTCCACACCGCTCTCCGCCGGGGCTACCTGAAGCGTTTGGAAACATGCTCTTCAGCTTTGTTGGAAACAATGTCATTGTCTAAGAACAGAGTGGTTAGTTAAAGCTGCGAGCTTCTTCCGCGGCTCTCTTCAGCCAGCTTTGCCTCATCTCATTATTCGGGGTACAACTTAAGGGTAGAAGCAGTCGCTCTCTGCTGACACAGCTCTTCTGCATACAGACTGACTGCTCTTTGTTCGAAGGACCTGAGTGATGTAAAGGCTGCAAAGAAGTCAGTGGTATAGGAGGTGGCTAAGTCCCCTGAAGAAGCTGAGGAAGCGCCGTTCGATGCAATTCAGAGGCTGGTGTGTGGGAAAGAACTCGTGTTTTGCCTCCCCCACTATCAGCACAGGCACTTTTTTAAGACGCTGTTTGGATCATTCTCAGCAATTAAAGCAGAATTTATTGCAACTGGAAGATGATGACTGGGCATATGGAAAGCGGAATGAATAATCAGCATGCAAATAATCGTAGCATTTGAAACCAAACGCCCTGTATTTTAGACTTAGTGGGATGGCTGGTGTTTTCAACAAAGATTAAATGTCTTTGAAAACAAGATGGAAGAAGAAGAAGAAAAAGGAGAAGGAGAAGAAAAGGAAGAGGAAGAGGAAGAAGAAGGTGCCCAACATAAAGGAAATGCTCAAGTGGGCCACAGCTCTGCTAAAATGTACAACAGTCAACCTTACAGCAATGATCTTTACCACCACAAATCTTCAGCCTTTGAGCTGGTGCCATAATAATAATGATAATGATAATAATAATAATAATAATAATAATAATAATAATAATGTTTAAGTGATTTCAAAGCATTGGTTGGAAGAAGAATAAGGTTAAGACAGGTGTCATAGATTCTTTTTGCTATCTTTAACTTTTATCCTCTTTAGTCAACACTTGAATATTCTGTGCTCAGTTCCAACAGCAGACAAAAACATTAGCATCAATTAGGTGAGGTAAGTATAGAGGAAGCCCAGTTCTTTACTTTGAACACTTGTCCCTAAGTTTTTATATGCGTAGAGCAAAATTTCCCATTCTGGTCTTCATATCATTAGGCACGTGTTTCCCCATCTGACTTTAATGCCAGGTACAGCTTCCTGCGAAAACTCACAATGCCTGCATAGAGGAAGATAATATACTTCAAATGGAATCATTTCTATTGACTTCCCTGAGCCATAAAGATTTTGTGGAAGAAGTATAGGAAGATATTTGTGAAACTAATCAAGAGGGAGGACTCACACTAAAATGCTCAATCCCCATCCCGAAAGGCAAAGAGGGTGGACATCAGAAGAAGAAGAAAACAGGAAACAACCTAGGAACCTGCCACAGAGGGCCTCTGAAAGGCTCTTCCCCGCAGACTATCAAAGTAGACGCTGAGACTTATGGCCAACTGTTGGGCAGAGTGCATGGAATCTTATGTAAGAAGTGGAAAATAGTAAGAGCTGGAGAGGATGGGAAACCACACAAGGAGAGCAACAGAACCAGAAAATTTGAACACAGGGAACTTCCCAGAGACTGATACTCCAACCAAGGACTATTCATGGAGATAACCTAGAACCCCTGCACAGAAGTAGCACATGGCAGTTCAGTGCCCAAGTGGGTTACCTAGTAATGGGAAGAGGGACTGCCTCTTACATAAACTGATTGGCCTGCTCCTTGATCACCTCCCCCTGAGGGGGGAACAACCTTACCAGGCCACAGAAGATGACAATGTAGCCACTCCTGATGTGATCTGACAGACTAAGACCAGAAGGAAGGAGAAGAGGACCTCCCCTATCAGTGGACTTGGGGAGGGGCATGCATGAAGAAGGGGGAGGGAGGGTGGGATCGGGAGGGGAGGCGGGAGGGGCTTATGGGGGGATACAAAGTGAATAAAGTGTAATTAATAAAAAAATTAAATTAAATTAAAAAAGGAAAAAAGAGAACATGGGTAATTCTTTGTTGGCTTGGTGTCCTGTAAAATGTAAAACAATGATACCTTTCACTATGATAGAGTATTCCAGGAAAGAAGGGCTGAGAGAGAAGGCAAACAGACAACAGTGCTCAGCAACAGGAAGAACAGCTTGCCGTAGCCCAAACCCTGATAAAGAATGACAGATGAACATGGAGCTTTCTGTGTAAAAACTAGGAAAGACAGAAAGGGTGGAGGAAGGAGAGAGGAGTAAGAGTGAAAAGGGAAGGAAGAGGTGTTTGTATTATGTGTCAATCAACAGGGTTAACAGTGGGAGCTACTAGGGCTACCTGATTCCAAACCGACACAGGAGAAATAACACCGGGGGGCAAAAGAAAATTTAATTTTCTCTTTGATTTGTCTCTGAAATCACCAACATTTAAAATTACTGTGAAAAATAGACCATCCAAGGTCGAGCCAGGCGACCTGCAGTGGAAGCTCTGTCACCATAGAACAATGGCCTGCATCGAAAATACCGCGGGGGGGGGGGACCTCTTTCTAAAATTATAATCAGCACCCAGCTCATTCATCTCCAGTTCAGAAGTCGTTACGAAAGACTGAAGCGCATGGGGCTGTAAACGCCACCTTCACTGTTTGCCTATACATGAAAAAAATGGGTGTTTTCCTCAAGAACATATTTGACATTTGCAAACAAGTGTTCTCTCCTAGAGATAGTCACCAGAAGTTTAAAAACAACTAACACAGTGCTTTGGAACCACGCAAGCGGTATCATGCAGATTTGCTGTCTGAAAATGGCCCAGAAGTTCATATATGCAAGAATAGCACACGGCATACAATTGCGCGTTTCTTAGCTGAGTTCTGTCCCCAACATCTTTAAATGAACATTAGAGACACCTTTGCCAAGTTAAACTGTTATCTGTTTCATCCAAGCTGCTTCCTGCTGGGTGGTGGTAGTCCTGTGGGTGACAGTTACTGCCGTTACTGCCTGGCCTTCCTGCTCACGGCGCCCCTTTCTTATCATTCAGTTTCTCTCCAGTTATGGGGTTTCCTTAGCCCTCCAGGAGGTCATATGTATGTATAGATGACATGGCTTCTTCAGGATGGCTTCCCTGAGAGTTCATAATGTCCTGGGCCTTTATTTCCTGTGTGCCCCATGCCCTCTCTTCCCCTGCCCTGAATTCTATATTAAGAGCAATGATTCTCAGAACAAAGAGCCCTTCAGAAGCCACAAGAAGAGATGTTTACCTGACATGAAATATAGTCAGGATTCCAGTGCTGAGGTTAAGTTACTCTTGAACAGAATAACCAGTGGTGAGTGGGCATGGGGGATGGGTTAAGTACCACTAGCCTTTCATGTGCGTTACTATGTGCTTCCAACAACAGATACTTTCCAGTTTATAGACGCTGTCTCTGACTTATGGAAATTTAAAGGTATATTATGTACATATACATTCAATGATATGTATCATTTATCCACTCTACAGAAAGGACTGTCAGCCTTAGCAATCAAGGGTTCTTACTGACATAGGATGTGATCCCTGGGGAGAAATTATGGCAATTCAATAGCCAGGAGGAAGGATGGCTTTGTTCTGAGTGGGATTAGCTATATACATTTGTTTGCAGATGCTCTGACTTTACTTATCTTGGCCTAGCCCCAAATCTTATTGGTCCTCATCCCATCCAACACAAACCCCAGATATAAGTGCTGGAAATGTAACTGTAAATAGAAAGCAATAACTAATCTTCTATTTGTGTTACATATCTTGATTCAAAATATGTGTCAAAAGTATGACGACGAAGCCATAAAGAAAATGCAGAAAAATAATAAAATTGTAAGGAATTATTTTTATGTTCATACACTCATACACACATACAGTTTGTAATATTTCTTTTTTTTTTTTACTTTTTGACGCTGCTTCTCACAGAGGTAACCCTCAACTTCGACTGCAACAAAGAGGGACTTTCAGATCAGGTTATTAGACAGAATTAGTTCCAGGAAGAATCTGTAAGTCACCACCGGCTTTAGATTTTCCTTGGTTTCTAGGGCATTTTCCCATTCCTTTTGGGAATGCCAAAAAACTCAGCAGAAAAGTAAAGATCTCCACATCTGCTTTTCTCAAACTCTAAGACTTTCTTCCATTAACCTCTGTGCTTCTGAATCTACTGTTCCGTGTGAAGGAGCTGAATGGTCTTGAGATCACCAGCAAGAGTTGTAAACAAAAATCACCAACACCTGCCTTCCCTCCAAGCTCTCAGATATGCTGCTGCTTGCAGGAGACCTGGCCATCAGCATTTAAAAATATCTCCCAGGTGACTGACTGTATTTGGGGTTGAAGCTGGGCTTAAGAACAACCTTTCAACAATGCAGATGGCCAGCCCTTTTCTGTATCATTACTGGGAAAACATACACTGCTTTCAAAATAATAGTGAAATATCTGTTCTAGTAGGCTTCGGCTGGATAATAAAGTAGGCAACTCAATACTCAGCAATTTTCTTCATGAAGAAATTTGGGATTCATTTGGAAAGAGGTGATGCTTGCAAAGACTGTCTCCAGAAAGCTAATTTTCATAAATATCCTTGACAAGACCGTAAAAAAAAAAAAAAAAATTCATGTTGTTTTACCCAATGTCATGCTGCAATGATTTATAATCTCATTTTCAAGTCATCTTATACATTATTAAACTAAACTTTTAGCAAATCAAATCAGTTCAATGATAGAAAAAGTATTTTACATGGTTGAATACAAAAGAGGTAAACAAATTAGGATGTTAAGTCCTTCCACTCTTTTGTACTAGAATGGCTAATTTTTAGCACAGTTGAATGCATATCCCAGTACAAAGTAAGGGAAAAAAAATCCACATTAAAAACCATCCCCCTTATTCTAAGAATTAAGCCCACGCTTAGTTTTTTTTTTTTTATTTCAATTTGGGGAAGAAAATAGAAAAATATGCATATATGCCTGCTACTTTAGTTTTTAATATCCCACTATTGATTTCTACCAGTATATACAAGTGTATATATAAATGAAAATTGGAAATTTTAGCCGACAAAATAAGATCGTTAGTACAGAACTAACAGGGTGCC